AAGGTAACAGCAAGTGTTGTTGTACAACAAACGATACAACAACCACATGAAATTTGTTTTTGTAAGTTATACTAGTGTCAACATCATCAAATATTTTAAAAATATTTTCGAATCCTCAAAACATAATTTGAAAAACATGAATGAAAATCTTTCAAATTTATATTTCTATCGCTTCCACAAATTTCCTATAACACTGTGCGACACGAAAATTTTTCAATGGTTCTAATGTACCAAATATGTTTAGTTGGAGTCCCTGGACCACGAAAATACCTTTGGTTTTTCTGGGTCACTTCGAAAATTTATTTTATAACGGTAAATATAGAGAAAAACGTGGTTTCATGGATTTTCAATTTAAAACTCGAATAACTTATTTACTTTTTAACAGATTTATATTATTCTTTTTTTTCTTTCGAAGAGTACAATTTTTCCTTTCAAACAAGATATATACTTGGTAAATCGGTTGAGGATTGGCTGAGTTACAGCGGTTGAAATGTGAAAAAATACGTATAAAATGACAAAATTTACTTTTCTTCGGGCTGTACGATGAAATTATGGCATCAAGCCATATAAGTTTTATTGTATTACGGGGAAGAAAATTAAATTAGCTTTCGAAGATGATAAAAATCAGAAAAATCGGTTAAAAAATGGATGACTTATACACATTTTTGTATTGATTCTATGCATATTCTCTAAAGGAAATATGGGTCTGTATCTTTTCCTGTTATAAACCGTTATGTTTGCAACAGGCAAAAGGAAACGAGATAGACCTATAGTTCCTTTAGAGAATATGCATTGAATCAATACAAAAATGTGTATAAGTCATCCATTTTTTAACCGATTTTTCTGATTTTTATCATCTTCGAAAGCTAATTTAATTTTCTTCCCCGTAATACAATAAAACTTATATGGCTTGATGCCATAATTTCATCGTACAGCCCGAAGAAAAGTAAATTTTGTCATTTTATACGTATTTTTTCACATTTCAACCGCTGTAACTCAGCCAATCCTCAACCGATTTACCAAGTATATATCTTGTTTGAAAGGAAAAATTGTACTCTTCGAAAGAAAAAAAAAGAATAATATAAATCTGTTAAAAAGTAAATAAGTTATTCGAGTTTTAAATTGAAAATCCATGAAACCACGTTTTTCTCTATATTTACCGTTATAAAATAAATTTTCGAAGTGACCCAGAGAAACCAAAGGTATTTTCGTGGTCCAGAGACTCCAAATAAACAGAATTGGTACATTAGAACCCCTGAAAAAAATTTTTTTGTTATTTTGTAGCACAGTGTAATTAAGCTATTGCCACTGATTTGTGTAACACATATTAAAATGCAGGAAATTGCGAGTTATTCAATGAAGAACGATTTGCTTCCTCAAACTTTCCCAACAGGCAGATTGAGTAAAAAGAATACGGGAGGACATTTAATAAAGAACAATTTCGAATTGTATGCGTTCACAATTTTCCTGTTGGGTGATTTTTAAAAACATTTGTCAAATTCATACTAGTATTACGTTGGAATCAAATCAGCTGGGACTTGCTGTTACCTTTTATAATTGTACCATGGCCTTATAGGTTCATCAATTCTTTTGAAAAGTTTCTTTAAAAATCCATTACTTATAGGTTCATAAACTGTTCTCAAATTTTTCTTTTTATATCCTCGCCATATTGATCCATAAACGTGTGATGAACTAGTAAAGTAAAACGACAGCTGAATAAAATAGCTTAATTGCGAACGGTTGAACTACTGAACTAGAAGACCGAACTAGTTCAGTCAAAAGAGCTGAACTAAAAAGAGCGATCAGCTAATTGAACTAGATAGAACAACTCTATTGTGGACCATTGTGGCAGCTCTAGATCTGTCCAAGGCGTTTGATACGGTCGATCATTCCGAGCTGATATCCGATATCACAAATTCCACCCTTCCGTCTGATATCAAACGTTGGCTTGTCAACTACCTTAATGGGCGGCAGGCCTTCGTTGAGATCCGTGGCCAAAAATCCAAATATCGCAAGATCAAAATGTGAGTACCGCAAGGCGGTGTCCTTTCTCCCATTTTGTTCAACATGTATCTTGCGAAACTCCCCATTCCTCCACCAGATGTTTCAGTGGTGTCGTACGCCGATGACTGTACGATTATTTCGTCCGGCGTTAACATTGACGACGTAAGTGCAAGAATTTGCAACTATCTAGTTACCATCACCAACTTCTTCCGGGAGCGCAATCTAAAATTATCCACTGCAAAGTCAACCGTGTCGCTTTTCACTTCCTGGACGCGAGAAGTCAATCTAGAACTTGACATTTCCGTTGAAGGTAGGCGCATCCCCACCGTCCATAATCCGAAAATCCTTGGGGGAAAATCCTTCATTTCTCCTCGCATTCCAATTACATCAACCAGAAGGTGAAAGCTAGGAATAACACTGACGACGTAAGTGCAAGAATTTGCAACTATCTAGCCACCATCACCAACTTCTTCCGGAAGCGCAATCTAAAATTATCCACTGCAAAGTCAACCGTGTCACTTTTCACTTCCTGGACGCGAGAAGTCAATCTAGAACTTGACATTCCCGTTGAAGGTAGGCGCATCCCCACCGTCCATAATCCGAAAATCCTTGGGGTGGTCTTCGATAGCCTCCTTCATTTCTCCTCGCATTCCAATTACATCAACCAGAAGGTGAAAGCTTTGGCTGGCACCTCCTGGGGCAAGGATAAAGAAACGTTGGTAACGACTTATAAGGCTATAGGTCGTTCCATCCTGAATTATGCTGCCCCAGTCTGGGCTTCTTTCCTTAGTGACACACAATGGAGATCATTGCAAACATCCCAAAATAATGCACTCCGAATTGCAACCGGGTGTGTCCAGATGACGTTCGTCGATCACCTCCATGAGGAGACCAGGATGCTGTCAGTCAAGAAACATAATGTGTTGTAGACTAGACAGTTCCTGCTGGCATGCTATCTGCCGTGTCATCCTAACCATCACATTGTGATGGCAGATCCACCTCCGCGACACATCCGCCAGGACTTCAGGCGCTATCGTGATGGCATCCAAGACGTCATTCCATCGGACTTCAACAGATTGTCGATAGCGAACGCGATGAAATCCGTGCATCAACTGGCGGTCCCCGATGCCATAAATGGCAACATATGCAATAAAGTCCTACAACAGCATCCTCTTGCAATTTCGGAGAGTGAGAGGCTTCTTCCTAGGCAAACCCGTTCAATTCTGGCACAACTAAGGTCCGGATACAGCAATGTACTCAACTCGTATCGAGAGCGCATTGTCCCCGGAACCCTAAACAGCTGTCCCTCCTGCCAGCAAAGCCCTCACGACACACACCATTTATTCAATTGTCCGTCCGAGCCTACGAGTCTATTGCCCATAGACTTATGGCTAAAGCCAATAGAGGTGGCAAAATTTCTCCGGCTACCCTCTTCAAATCCGAATTCCTAATTAATTAATTAATATATTTTCCTTCTTCCGTTTTCTTTTCAATCAACATTTTTCAGGAAAGAACTTTCGTCAACAGCCAACCTGTTACAACAACAACTCTACTTGTAGGTTCGACATGTTTCAGTAGTCGGTATTATTCGTAGTACATATTCAAAATCAAATAACAGAAGGCCTGCAACTAAATTTTTAAAATAGTTTGAATGACCTTCAACAATGTAGTGTGTGTTTCCATACACTATAACTGGTTAAACTTTCAAATTTATAAAAGAATAAAATGAAGAAATTATATATATAGGATATATTAAAAAAATAAATAAATGAAATGGACTTGACACTTAGAAGCGTTCATTGCACACTTCGATTAACTGATTTACTCTACTTTTTTATAAAAGAATTTTATAAACAGCATATAGTCTGTTGCCATACTGTAAGAATCTACAAAACGTTGCATTTTTTCGTAGCAAATATTTGTTCGTTCTTGCAGATTCTGGAACAGTCATACAAATTTGATATCGTATTTCCTAAATTTTCATTTTATCGTGTTATATATGCCACATTACACTGTTTTCCTCTATGAATCCGGTTTGCAAAGATCTTCAACATAAAGGGACCTTTATATGGACTGATTTTCAATGTCAAACATAATATCCATTTATATACAACACTTCAAAGCTCTATATTAAATATAGCATACTCAATCGCGGTTCTAACGGACGTACATGGCTAAATCTACATAGAAGCTTTCTCAGATCTAAAATGTATATTCGTAATGGAATCTGAACAAATATTTTAAGGCGATGCAAACAGTATATGAATAAATAATGCCAATTACAGATATGTGCATGATTTCATAAAATTAGCAAGTTGAACTTTGTTGTATCTCAAATTAACCTGGGAATAAACAACTCATAAACATGGATTTTATTCAATTGGTAAGTCGACGTTAGCGATATTAAATTATTGCCTCAAATTCCTTCTTTTGCAGATAACTGAATTTGCCAGCATTGGTTGTAATGAAAAACTTCAAGCTTCAGTTGCAGCTCGTGTGTTTCAAGATCTTAAGCTCGGTAAGTTTATGAATAAGCTCAAAAAACTATTTACAAAGCACCGGTAATAAGCGACTCAAACTACACAAATTTATCTACATCATTAAAGATAAATAAATTTTCTTCTAGACAACAATTATCGCATTATATCTAAATGTTTTGATTCTTATCTTCAAATTCCATTTTTGCGTGCAACATCTTCCTGCAATGACACGTCCATCTTCCTTCCTTTGCTCGATTCGGAGGATGTAAACTTTAAAACAATTACTAAGTTCCAGAAACAATTTTGTGGTTCCAACCGGAACAAGTTACGTTAAATATCAATTATGTTAAATATCAAAACAATGACTAATTTTATTTATTTAATTTGCAGGTTGTTTTTGGCTATTTGTGATCCGTCATCCAATATTTTGTACTACCAATTATAAAAAGTTTTTATAATTCCCAAATTATATACGACTATTTGATTTTAACCTATGTTGTTTTATTTGGCTATAAAGATTTTACAAAATATGTATAAACTCTGTCGTTTAGTTGGAATACTTTGACCTCCTCATGATAAGTACTTTTCTGTACAGTGCATTTCTATAAAAGATTCCAAAATAGTGGGAACGAGTCCTTGGTACTTAAGTCTGTTGACGGCTACACAACGTGATGCAATACATTTCAAAGATATTGATGAATTCGTATGATTCATTATTATCGCGTTAAGGGGGCCTTTAAGAAAATATTAACAGATACAGATTAAATATATAAATAGTTTCTTTCGTACTCAGCTCACCAATATTGCTAACTTGGGCTGGAGTCAAGCCTTGAGAATTCACTGCATCCAAATGAGCTCCAGCGTCGACCAAAAGTTGGATAATTTTTTCGGCGTGAGTAATTAGGTGATTATTGTCTCTAGGAAACTAAAGGCATTTGATGAAAAAGACGGACATAATAATAAATCTGGATCTTCTTACACTTGATGCCAACGTATGTAAGGGTGTGTTGCGCATATTATCTACTGCTAAAACATTAGCTCCACCATGAACCAAAAGAAGGGCAGTCCGGTAGCATGGAAACCTGAAATGGTATATGTAGTATTTATGAACTTATAAACATACTTGCAAATATCATCTACTTATAAACATACTTGCAAATATCATTTGTATAAAAGTCATCGACTGGAGTGACGGCATTCACAGCCATGTGAAGGAGGGTTTGGCCGTCAGCTAGTCTGATATCACATTTTATAATTTTCTTAATTGTACAATAGAGAATATTTTTTTGGTCGTTTGTTACATTTTGAGTCAGGAGTCTGGTTATGATTTTAATTAGGTAAAGGGCGGTGGCTACGTTCTGTTCATTTTGATCCTAAGTGAAAGTGTGAATCATATATTTTGAATTTTAATTATCGACATGTAAGACTTACTGAAATCATTTGGGGTACATCCTTGGGTCCTGGGTAGCATATCTTGTGCTTGTTCCGTTCGATTTCTTGCTGACATTTGACTAGGACGGACAATACCTGTCCCAGGTCCAGCCTTACATCTTCCATACGCAAGATTTGTGAAAAAAGCTGTGCAAAACGCAGCAAGTCTCTGTCCACAGATATGCCATTCATCATCCTTAGGTCCATTGCGTAATTCCATAGCACTTGACACTGAGAAAATCGGCCTTGGTCAGCCATAACCGCGCCCCTATACACAATGGGCTGGGGTAAGTCCGGATTGTTTCTACCCAGGATGCGTTCTCGTATCGTCAGAGATTCCATATGAATTGAATGGTGATTCAAGCGGATTGCCTGTAACTCTGGAATATTTTCCGTTTCAAGCCAATCATCATATGCCGGTATTGGAGGCATAACCATCTTTCGTATTACGTTGTTTGAATCGGAGAATCGTAATTCCATAGCTTTATGCAAGTACTCGTATGCTTTCTGAATATTGTAGTTGTCCTTATCATTGGCAAATGAAGCGCCCATCAACTCCAAAGCCATAATAATGTCCTCTTTTTGCATTAGACCTGGTCTTGCAGTAAACAATTTGACGACTTCCTCTTGTGTCCTTTCAGCTGCAGTCAATACCGGAGTCAGTCCCAATTCATTTTCCTGCAAACGCGCACCATGATCCAGCAGCAAGCGACAAACTTCAAAGTGACCGCATTCTGCGGCATAGTGCAAGGCCGTTGCTCCGCACAACGCTTGTTCATTTGGATTAGCGCCGTTTTTTAAAAGTGTATCAACCTATAAACGGGCAAAGTACATACATTTATATTTTGCATTCATGTATTTCAATTACTACAACAGCTTTTAATGGATATGAGTTAAAACTAAAGGAAAAAATCTTTAATTTTGCATGCAACCTTACCACTTGTGTGTGCCCCTTATAGGCAGCAATCATTATGCAGGTGTTGTTATATTTATTTCCAAGATTGACATCAGCTCCGTGTTCTATAAGGTACTTAACTATATCCAATCGTCCGGCGTAACATGCGGCTGTAAAAATAGTTGAACATACCATACTAAATACTAAAGTTTTTCTCTTATTTTGGCAATATTCTATAATGTTCATAAATTGTACCTGATTATAGGACATGTTTGGGCACTGAACATCCAGAAATACTAAATATTTACCTCTTAACGGCGAGGACTGCGCTTTTGTGTTGTGATTCACATTAGCCCCGTGTCGCACCAATAACTTGACAATCTGTAGGTGTCCTAATCCAGCAGCTACCCACAAAGCCGTTGCGCCATACACTACCAGCCCATCGAATATCACATTGCATTCACACTCCAGATCGACTTTGTATTGGTTAAGTAAAGTTTTGACGTACATAACGTTTCCAGCAGTCGCTGCCATTGTGAGAGGTGTAATAGACTGACCATCGATCTCATCGAATTTCTACAAAAGAATGTGTAGTAAAAAGAGTATGTTTTACAAATAAAAAAAAGTATTTATTCATATTTTCCGTTGACTTGAATACAAACAACTAGTATTCAAGTGCTTTGGCATTTGTAGGTATGTGCATTGAATCCGCCCGAAGAAAGCTTAACAGTTATAAACAAATTACCATTGGGTAGGAATGCAATTATCACTCCCGTACAATAACGCGGAACATACAAAGGTTAACATATTTTTGCACTCACCGGAGGATAGGTCAAATATGGAGATAAAACCACAGTTTTCGGAGATTTCCAAAAATTCGAGCCAGGCCATGCCGTATTGAAATTTTGTTTACGTTTTCTAAATTTAAATTATTTAGTTATAGGAAATATACATATATGTATATCCTTTTCGATACTTACAACGACATTTTATTGTAAGAATCAATTGTTTAACAAAGATATGTTCGGAGTATACGAAGGATGTAATGCAACTAACTAGCTCCTTTGGTGGATGAAAGAAATAGTCATTTGGTATATGTTAACATTGAATGTTTGTGGCACATGCCATCCCCTACAAACGTGCGAAGGCTCAAGGCTCGCGCACAATGCAGCTGCTACTAAACACTTACGTTTCTCTTTATTATTGTATTCTCTCTCACACACATTAGACAAAATATTAAGCCGGCTTACGTCTCGATGGAGAGAATACTAAATAAAGAAACATGTTAACAACACATGCTTGAATATAACGAATTTGAACAGATGTGCCTAGCAGTATATATTGCCTAGCACTATATAAAGCAGATAATTATGTAGAGACCCGTCTTGCGTCGCCGACGAGAAAAGGAAAAACGCGGCGCAAATCGAAAGAAGCTAAATCACACACTGCAAATGCTAAGAATTTACGACGCAAATAATCAAGAAGCTATGCAAATCGAAACTATCAAAAATAAACCTTATTTCTAAATACATTTTCTTTAGAAAGTAATTCTAGTTGTTTGATATTTTATTGGTCTAAAAAGTTTAGGAAAATGATATGTCATAAATGTATCCGTAATAATGCCAAAGAATTGCAAATTCCAGGCGGACGGAGAACATAATTGAATTGAACTCATTTAACGGGCGTCCTCCTACGCAGAATTATCCCCTTTTGGGGGTTTTTAATAATTGCGGTTCGCCCATTTCCTAACGAAGACACCACAATCGCAATTATATATATAATAAGATATATATAATAAGATTTAAATCATTAACAACTGTCTCTTGTTCCCAGTACATATATTACGTTCATAGATCTAAGCTATGATCTGCATTAGGCCTCGAAATTTATTTCAATTCTTCATACATATTATATAGCGTACAATTTTTCTACATATTTAGTACATACGATATTGAAAACAAAGAGATGCTCTCACTGTAATGACAAATAGAAACAAAGTACGCAAAAACCGTAGTAAATGAACACGCAGGAATTAATTTGAATCGGAGTGCATTTTTGTGTTGAATCATCCCGCAATGATTAATTGCAAATTGAATATTTTCATGTCCTTACCATATTCAGCAGATAACTTCGCAATTCCTCATTTCGGATTTCATTCATTGTGGACACCAATAGCTTTGCATGATTGAGTTTCGCTGTGGAATATAGCATGGTGATCAGTGATGTTGATATTTTCTTTCCATCTGATGGGAAAAGTTGGTGTAACTCTTCAGTCAATTCCTCGATCATTATTCTTCTCTTGTCCTCCCAGTCTTTAGAATTCGAGCACATACGTTTAGGTCGTTTGTATTGAAAAATATAACTGAATTTTAAATATCTCTCCCGAAAGTCTTCCTATGTAAATAATTAATAATTACAGAACAATTTAGCTATTTGGGCCCATGGTAGCTATTTGATAAGGTAGACGCAAAAGCAATCTGTTGCAACAAAAAACTGTAGTAGTGATTTGAAATGTCAAAAACATATTTGAAAAAATAATCTATCGCCAAATTTAATTCAAACCATTTAATTCAGAATATATTAAGAAATGTATTTCCAAACAATTTCCTCAAAAATTCATAGATTTTTATTCAGAAAATAATGTTTTTAATTTTAATGCCTTAAATTGCAACAACTCTTTTGACAACTTATTACACTAACAGATGTTCTGATGGATGATCCACTTTGATTGAGTGATCTGGTTCAAAAAATTCACTGAAATGAAATATAAATCCGTCGTGCATTCACTCTAAGAGTCTAAACGCAACCAGAGCGTCTAGAGTCAGCGACGGTCGTTTACAGTGTATTTCTTATTGGCAACGGAAATCGCGAAGGCTGACGTTCGCGTCTAGCGGCTTGACTCTAGAATAGATTTTATTCATTTTTGCTCAGCGTCATACTCAAATTTTCTCTCTTGCTCTCAATTGAGTTACCATATTTTAGGAAAAAATCAGCAGTGCTACCAACATTTCAGTGGAAATTTATATCAAAACATATGGCAGTGCTGTTAAAACAACAAATATTTTCAAAGATTGTGGTCGTTTTTTTAACGAATTAATCATAAAATGGAAGATACATTTAAAAATAAAATGGAAAAAATGATTTTCCACAAGTTCATTGACATTATTGTTTATTAAATAATAAATTAAATTTGGTTTGCACAACGTACAATTTTCTGTCAGAAAATGAAAACAAATAATTGCGATTTTGTGCCGCTAACGCTAACTCTTTCGTTTGGTTTTCACGCCGGCGAAAAAGTGTGCCGCTGACTCCTGACTCTATGGTTGCGTTTAGACTCTAAAATAAGTGTATTAGAGTCTAAACACAACCAGAAAGTCAGGTGTCAGCGGCGTACTTTTTCGCGGGCGTGAAAACCAAACGAACGAGTTAGCGGCTAGCGGCACAAAATATCAATTATTTGTTTTTTCTCTGCAATGCTCTTTCAAATTTCTTCTTTTTTGATTATGTTTTTGTAATCAGGAGATTCCAAGTTATACAAAATCCAGGTTTATTCTAAGGTTAACCGGCAGGCAAATTCATGCCTTAGTCATCTCTTGCTACCAACTTTTTAATCGCGAAATACAAAGCAGAGTAGGATAAAAATATCTTTCAAAAATGTGTATTGATAAGATTGTGCACGAATATTTAGTTTCGAATAAAACTATTTTTTGTTTATTTATTCTTCAAAAAATAAATTTGACGGTCAATGAACACTTTGAATTCGCCCCCTTGTTAACCTTATGAATAAACCAAGGCAAGGTAGATATACAAGGTAGCCGCATCGGCGAATTTCTACATCAAACATCGGTTGTTGTATTTTGATATGTCAACAATTTTTGACAATTATTTGCACCAACAGCTGGGCCGATGCGGCTACCTTATTAAATATACCTTGAACCAAGGCCTATATAAGGTCGGCCAGTATGCGAATTCATAGAGAAAACTTAAGTTTAGGGTCAATTTTTTTGCCGAGGCATTGCAATAAACCTTGTACAAAATATATATTTTTTTTATTTCCTCGATCAAAAATGAATAAAATCAACTCTAGTTTTTGTTTTGATACATCACCTTATTATTGCATCATGAACTGACTGTTAGAGTCTAACTGCCTGGTCTAAACAGAACCAGAGAGTCTAGAGTCAGCGACGGTCGTTTACCGTGTGTTTTACTTGAATTCGATGTGCAGTGTTGCCAACCATTTAAAATAATAAAAGGAAATTTTTGACAGATATTCGAGACAAAAATGTTTTTGTTTTGATACATCACCTTATTGTTGCATCATGGGACTACCTATTCATTGTGCCATGAGCCAGCTCAAGGTATATTTAATAAGGTAGCCGCATCGGCCCATCTGTTGATGCAAATATATGTCAAAAATGTTTTTGTAATGTAGAAGCAAAAAATTAAAAAAACAAAATTATCAAGGTGTATTTAAAAAGGTGTAAGTGACAATCATATGGCTTCAAACATTTTTCTTTTTTGTTTGCAAAGTAAATTGTCAAAAACATTTTCAAAAACATTTCGATTTCAAAACTGGTCTTTAAATTTAGGCTTTTTTAATAATAAAAATTCAAGAAAACTACATTTATAGAGGCGGACGGAAAGGAAACCTGGGATTAATCAGTTATAACCCCGTTCGCCGATTGGTCCACATATTCTGTGTTATGTGTCCATAAATCCCAGATACTCATAAAATCGAGGAGATTATGTTAGCCTATATTGGAATCGATCCCTTGGTGCTTGTCACAATCCTCGGCGGAGGTTAAATATGCCTATGGAAAGATTATATACGGTCAACACAATTTCCATGATTTAGTATTTAGCCGGGGATTTATGTTCTTCAATTTTCTTTCAGAAGGCAAGATTTGAAGCCACTCCATAGAAAAAATAGATTGTAATTCACAATATAAACAACATCACAAGGAGTCATGGGCTGCATGTGGGAAACATCAAATTAATCGCGACCAGGTCCTAAACTTTATTTTTCACTAACCTAAAACCGCTAATAACCCAAGAATACACTAATTCATTAATTATTCCTCAAAGAATAGTTCTTGAAAAAAATAAATTAATAATTGTTTTTGTTTATTTTTGTCAAAAACTTATTGTCAGCATGACAATTTTATTTCTATAAATTATAAATGAAACTCTCCGAATTTCGAAGAGCTTGTTTGGCAGTACTTTTATTAACATTTTGAACAAGAATTTGTGTAAAAAATCTTGCGAATCTGTTTTGGCAAAATATTTTTGACGGCTACCTTGTATATCTACCGGTGGATGCGGCTACCTTGTATATCTGTACAGATTCCCAAAAGGACGTAGGATCTGTTGTGAAGTCTAAATTCAGACGAATTTAGAGCTTTTGGATTATGAGTTTGCCGGCAAAAGCAACAACTACAACACATACAAATATACAAACACCACAAGTATACGTGTAATACTCACGTGATGTTTAGCACAAATACAAAGATAAATAACTTTAATTATAATAAATATTCGACTGTCAGGCGACAGGTTTATTATGGGTTTAATTTGGGTCATGGCCAAGGGAGACAAGCTGATTATCGATACCTCTCAAGTTTGCTGTCAAAATGCATTATTGTGAATTGACTTCCATTATGAAAACGTAAACAAAGTCGAAATTTTTGACATTAGACTTGAGAAAAAACAGCTGTTTTCCGATTTCGATTGCTATCTTGGTGACCTTATTAATAGATCTTGATTTGGGTAAATATAAAGTTGACGATCAAGGCGATCCTTTAGGTTTTACTTCTTGTAACAAGAGTGATTAGTGATGGGAGGAAATCGATTTGGTCCGATGACTTACAGGTCCAAATCGATGTGGTTGTCATCGTACTGCTTGATGGCCGTGCGGACGTCAACAATATGTACCTTGAGCCGCTCAACTCACACGGATTCTTATGCCATGTACAGACGAGCGTCGTTCGCTCTCTCATTCGTTGTTCGACCCTTAATTATGAAGTAATTACTTAGTTCCCCATACAAAAATGTCTGAGCGAACACCGACTTTTGTTCGTTGTTCAATTCGAATCACTCTCTGAATAACTAAGAAATTTGTCCCATCCCTAACAATTGAGAGGATTTATCGACAATAAATTAATTTTGACAGCATGAAAATATTTATAAAATTTTCAAACTTTTTCAGTAAAATTGAAAATGATGAATGAAAAGTTAAAAATTGTATAGTTTTTATATATGCAGCAGGATGTAAATTTTGTTTTCTACATAATGCAATATACATTTATTTTCCCTTGATTCTAATTAGCGTACAAAACAAGAAACAAATGTGGGGAAACTCAAACAAAAAATTCTCCAAATTTGTATAGTGACAGTGTGTGACATTTTAATTGAGAAAATATAAAAATGTATTAAAAACAACAAAATTTTCAGAAAAAATGGAAAACATGAATGAAAAGTAAATAGCTATGGGTTCTGACTATATTCAGGAGAAAGAGGTTAATTTTCTCTATTTAAATGTATAGGTAATACACACAAATATGTTGAGATTTCTGTGTAAAAGGAGAAACAACAAATTTGAAAAAGGAAATTCTGATGACATGAATTAAGAATAGTGTTGTATGAACGGGTTAATTCATCTAGGTAATTCTGAGAGCGAACTACGTTGTTCGAATGCTCGTCAGAACATGGCATTACGCTCATTTGTTTAGTCGTTGTTGAGATTGATTCTTTGCTGAAGAATATTCTTTTGAAAAATTCAAAAAACAAATGTTCGCGAATTCTCGCGAGCACTGTTAAAAACAACAACAACAAATAAAAATATCATAAAAACACACATAAACAACCCTGTAGGACTTTCATCAACTAGTTTATAAAATGTTTAGTTATAAAGAAATTATTAATCAACTGATTATAAATTAGCAAAAAAGTCATCTAAGACTCAACCACATTGAAACCAAAAATATGTTCATGTCATCAAAAACATAACACACGCAAAACAAGAAACCGTTAGAATTGCATTCCACACAACAACACAGGATGCAAAGATGAAGAAAAATCATTCTGTTTGAAAGTTCGGAGAGTGAAGACGTGTAAATCGTAATTAATTGTAATTGTGCTTTTTAAGTGTGAAATTAAAAATAAATTGGTAAGTGTTTTAATAATATAATTGAAATGTTTCCTAGCAAGTCACATCGTAGAAAATTATGTAAAAAGCAAAGGGAAGAATCTGTAAATATAGATACACATCTTTTTTTAATTTGTAGCGCATATGCAGAATATTTGTAAAATTTCTAAACCAATAAAAACATGGAGTCCCGCCAAAATCAGTGAAAAGCCTCAGCATGAATTTAAGCAAGTAATTTATTATATAAATTAAAACCAACTATTCTAATTCGAATTTTAATTTCACTATATTTCAGATGCTCATCTGCCTACCTAAAAGATTTAAAAAATGTTTTCGAGTGCCTTATGGACACCCTGCGATCACTTCCAGTGACATATTTTATGTATTTCCACCTATGTATATAAATTTCAGCAATTTATAATTCAATCTATTGAATTCTAAACTGAAATTGTATATTGTCCAACGTTATTTCATAGATTCAAACATTGCAGTATTGGTATAATTACAAATTAGCCAAGTTAAGTTAGTAAATAGTTATATTAAAATATACCAAATAATAGTCATTTCGAAAAGTCTACATAGAAATTAATCTCTTTTAGACCGATGACTGTCTGCATTTTTTTAATCTAACTATAAATCAAAAATAAGTAGTTTGTAAACAGTTGAAAAGTTACTGACTACTACCGCGACCATCGTCATGTAAAAATAGTCAGTTGGTCCAAAGAAAAATTATCGATAAATGGACTAGTAGTGACTATTTTAAAATTAGTTTAAAGTTAGTTTAAAATTGGTTCATTTCCCTACAGGGAATGACAGGATATGTGTTGAACAGCAGTCGGCAACAAATACATATTCATTTGTTTGGTCACACAGACACAAGGTGTGTGAGAGTAACTCTTGCTCTCTCGAAAAATAAGGTATAAGGTCACCAAGGGAGACCAGCTGATTATCGATACCTCTCAAGTTTGCTGTCAAAATGCATTATTGTGAATTGACTTCCATTATGAAAACGTAAACAAAGTCGAAATTTTTGACATTAGACTTGAGAAAAAAAAGCTGTTTTCCGATTTCGATTGCTATCTTGGTGACCTTATTAATAGATCTTGATGAAAACGTAAACAAAATCGAAATTTTTGACATTAGACTTGAGAAAAAAACAGATGTTTTCCGATTTCGATTGCTATCTTGGTGACCTTATTAATGCCATGTACAGACGAGCGTTGTTCGCTCTCTCATTCGTTGTTCGACCCTAGATTATGAAGTAATTACTTAGTTCCCCATATAAAATTGTCTGAGCGAACACCGAATTTTGTACGTTGTTCAATTCGAATCACTCTCTGAATCACCAAGAATTTTGTCCCATCTCTAACAATTGAGAGAATTTATCGAAAATAAATTAATTTTGACAGCATGACAAAATTTTTCAAACTTTTTCAGTAAAATTGAAAATGATGAATGAAAAGTAACCAATATTCTAGTTTTTATATATGCAGAACGATGTTAATTTTGTTGTCTACATAATGCAATGTGCATTTCTTTCCCCTTGGTTCTAATTAGCGTACAAAACGAGAAACAAAAGTGGGGAAACCCAAACAAAAATTCTCCCATTTTTTAAATGTGACATTTGAGTTGAGAAAATATAAAAATGTATTGAAAACAACAATATTTTCAGAAAAAATGAAAAACATGAATTAAAAGTAAAGAGATAGGGGTTGATATTATAGTCAGGAGAAAGAGAATTATTTTTTCTATTTAGATCCATATGTGAATCACGCAAATATGTTACAATTTTGGTGTGAAACAAGAAACAAAAAGTTTGAAATAAAAAACTCTGATGACATGAATTCATATACGTAATTCTGAGAGCGAACTACGTTGTTCGAATGCCCGTCAGAACATGGCATAATAGATCTTGATCGGTGTTGTTTTCTTTAACGATAACGGTAAATGGACTACCTATTTATTGTGCCATGAATTGCCCGATTGTGCAAATATTCGATCTTTTTAGTTGGTAACACTGACAACCTCCGTATCGCCGTTGACTCTGGTTACTTTGGCTTCGCTGTCTTTTGGGCAAAAGTGTTTTGTCATTTTGCACATTCAGATTGTTTGAGAATAATTAAATTGATTGGTACCGCTAAATAAGAGATATATCCAATTGTAAGTTAATAGTTAATTTAACATGTCTAGTTACTAATTAAATATTCACAGATGTTTCTCACCCGCTCTGAATATGATCGTGGAGTAAATACGTTTTCTCCTGAAGGAAGACTCTTTCAGGTGGAATATGCTATCGAAGCTATTAAGCTGGGATCAACCGCCATTGGCATATGTACATCAGAAGGTAAATATTAGTAGTTTTTTTTTGCAATTGGAAAGCTAAAGTGGGTTTACTTTAGGTGTTGTATTGGCTGTTGAGAAACGCATTACTTCCTCACTAATGGTGCCAAGCACAGTGGAGAAAATTGTAGAAGTCGACAAACACATTGGCTGTGCCACATCTGGTTTAATGGCTGATGCAAGAACTTTAATAGAGAGGGCACGGGTGGAATGTCAAAATCATTGGTTCGTTTATAATGAGCGTATGTCTATTGAATCGTGTGCACAAGCTGTGTCTGCTTTGGCTATACAGTTTGGTGATAGTGGTGATGGCGGTTCCGCTATGAGTCGGCCATTTGGCGTTGCAATTCTCTTTGCAGGAATAGAGGAAGGCAAACCACAACTTTGGCACATGGATCCATCTGGTACATATATTAGATATGGCGCAAAAGCCATTGGATCTGGTAGTGAAGGTGCCCAGCAGAACTTACAAGACAATTACACTGCTGAAATGACCTTAAATGACGCCATTGTTTTGGCACTGAACACCTTGAAACAGGTAATGGAGGACAAAATAAATTCCACCAATGTTGAAGTGATGACAATGACGCCGGAGAAATTATTCCGCATGCATACAAAAGAAGAAGTGGAGAAGATCATCAATGATTTGGCTTAAAAATGTCAACATTATATGAAAGCATCAAATGTAATATATATAATTTTTTATTGTAACTTTTCATCATACTTAAATGAACAGAATTTTGGCCGTCGACGGTAAATACGTTGTTTTTATTTACAAAAGTAGCATATTTGGGAGCATCGGACATCATGTTATTAAAAAGAACAATGCCGCAAGGAACAATTTTAGTAGTTTTTTTGCAATTTTATGTATGAAAAGCGCCGTTCAAAAATGGAAAGCCTTGTTCAAAGCTGCCCCCTGGCTTCGTCCATTAAAACAGTAATAAAATATTTAAATCGGACTTAAAGTATGTCAGATGTGTATCCAGTGTAAAGGTTACATCTGTACCTATCAGTTAAATTTTATAAAAACCCAAACATAAAATTAAAAATTGTATAAGGCCTGAAAGCAGAAAGAATCCAAATGCGCCCCTCTCCCCTTATTATTTTCTTAAAACAATAACAGCTATTCGATAAATTAGTCTTCGATTCAAACAATATTGTTATAATGTTAATGATAATAAAATTTGATGAAGAATTTTTCTGCGAATGTGAATTGAATCCCTTATTTCAAAAAATCCCAGATTCGTAGGAAGTTATGTTTACTAAATGGTACTAAATTTGGTACAATTTGGTTGAACCGATCGGACTGGAATACTTAAATTGGGAAATAGGATTTCAATTGGATTGTTGAGGTAGTTAGCTATGTAAATTTATTTTAATGTGCACTAAATGTTACTAAGTTCGGTAAAATTTGGGTGATCCTATAGAGCTCGAATTATGAAATTAGTTTTGGTACAAGAGTACAAAAAGTAATAAATGTTAACAAATTAATAAGCCTTTATTTTGTAATGAAAAGCCAAAAGGGTCAATAAATTATTGCAATATACTTTGAATTTGTAAATTTTATCTAAAAAATTATTAGAACTTAAAGAAAATTACCAAAAAATACACTTATGACACTTCACATGGGAATTTTTGCTGTGGTCAGAAGTGTTGTGAGCTGTATAGATATGGAGGCAATATTGAAAATACATACTATAAGAGATCAAAGATACTATGTTTAATTATCGCTGATATTGGTGTGTAGTTTGAATAGCTTTTCTGAAAACAGTATAATAATATGTAAAGACAAATTTAAATATCTCCCACATTCGCTAACGAAGTAACCGGAATATGCTAGTACATATAATAAAAATTATTCATTCAAAATAAGAAAATATGGGATAATTTTATTACATTTAGTATGTTCAACCCTAAGCTATAAATCAAAATCTGCAAAAATAATAAAGATATATTTAGACCAGATTAACATATAATATATATCGAATGTTAATATTCCATAGCATACAACATTTCTTACATCGTCCCATTTTCCTTTGTATAAGATCTTACTTGCTGAAATACTACGTAACAAAATATGTTGTACATTGTATGTGAATTTATATCGTAAATTTATAGGTGATCGCATGCAATTTCAAATGAAACCCGCACATTTGTTAAATTTCGCCACTCTTATTTTATTACACTAATATTACATATTTTGTACAAGCAGCAATAGATCTTCTTTCAAAAAATTGCCGTCTGACCCCAATTCTCCTGGTGATGTAAAGAGTAATACTACATTTGGTATAAGTCTGTAACAAAAATTATAAATGTTGATTACTACATTCGTGTGTACTTCATTTGAACTGACCTTAAATCAAATAGTGTCTTCTCCATGTCGTCTTCGGAGAATTTACCGCCATTGGGCAACATTAAATTGAAGTCCATACATTCGTTTTGTAAGCATGATTGCACAAATTCATAGACATCAATAAGCTTTTCGTAAACATCAAATGTTCCCTTTGTAATAAATCAGAAAAATATTTTTAAGACAATGCTTGTTGTCTATGCTGGCATTTTTAATTAACTCTGCTGGTATTTTTAATATATCCTAAATTATTTATATTATTTTGTAAAAATTGATTTTCATTTAAATACTCCGTAACAATCACACTGATAATTTATCATTCATTTCAGAATTAATTTTAAAAATGCATCCGCATAATTCTTTTAAAATATTAAAATTTAAGATATTAACATTTATTTTAAGTATCTAATGTAGTATATTTATAATTAACGATAGTTATGATGTAAGGTGGATTCCTTGTAATAATATATAAATTGGCCATTGAATGTATAATTTGGCTTCAATTGCAAATTAAATACAGATGCAATTAAATTAAATAAAGGCACTTGACTTACTTGAATGTAGAGTCCATTCGGGAACTTTACTCGTATCAACGCGTATTTGTACATTCTCATGAGTCGCTGTTCTTCGCGTTCGCGCATCGCTTTTGTTTTCAGTATTTGGGCGTTTTCCAAAGCTTCAGTTCTGAGTTGTTGTTCTCTTTTAAGTTCTTCAGGGGATATGCGATAGAAGTCGTCTGGCAAACTAACATTTTTTGCCTGCGAAGGCAAAAGAACTTTTATATTCCTGTCCAACTCCAAATGTATCTGTTCAGCATTTCTCAAGGACTCTAACATTAATGGTAAATCGTAGTCTTTTTCTATATTATCTTTGGACCATATCAAAAATAATTCGTTGTCCAACATTATTTCTCGAAAACCACAAGCATTAAGAAAATCCAGTGCTCCCTCGACATATCGAACTTTATCGGAGAATATCCTAAAAAACACCGTAAGTAAAATTCATATTAAATTGAAGCATACCTCATTACCTGTTAGACATACGTATTGAACAGTACTTTTCCTCATTAGGGTGGTTGATAATATTTTCCAAATATTTACAAAGAGTCTGAACGCATTCCTCTGCCTGAATATTACAAACATTCGAATTAATTTAAAAACGCAATATTTATGCTTCGATCGGTACTATCGCTTACCTTCTCTTTACTATTACAATTCTGAATTATTAAGCAAGATGTCAAGGCTTTTTCATCGCTGTTTTCTAGTTGCTGGTACAAAAACTCTTTTATTTTTCCTCTCCATTCCTTTCGGGGAAGTATTTCGTCACTCACTAGAGGGCAACGATAAAATATAGACGCCACGTTAGAAGTGGGTGCGTTTTCGTTGTTTGCACACTCTGTCTCCTGTTTGAGAGCTGCCGCTTCAGCTTGAAGTTCTTGTTTAGCTCTAGCTTTTATTGCTGCTAGCGAAGTATTCAAAGTCTTGGCATCGCCCCTTTTCTCGATGCGTGCCAGAGCGGCTTCTGCCGCTGCTTTGGCCTCATTGCTTAATTCTTTCCTTTTTGGTGGTACGTACTCCTCGTAGTTAGATTTTCTTCCTTGCGAAGAAGACGTTCCTGGCTCTGAAGAACTTAACGAATGTCCCTGACCCAAACTACCACCGCCAAGCTTGAATTTAAATGCGGCTTCGTCCTTCTTCTTTTTAAAGTACTGTTTAATTTTTGACATACTTAAATTCTCGGCGAGTGTTCCTTAGGAAGTTTCAACTTATCCACAGACAGTTTGAGCTCTTCGATCTCCTTAAGGGTACCTTTAAACGAAAAACATCCTCTGTTATTCGACGTTAATGAATGGCATTCGTCCAAAAATATTCCCAACATATTCGAAAGCCGAATAAAATTCCTAATAACAATTTACCCAAAAAATTTTCATTATCAAACTCCAACTTACTAGGTCGCACAAATTTCTCGTTTATGACCTTTCCGTAAATTTTCCAACTGTAGCCTATTATTATTAGGGTGCACAATACCAATGCTAGCAACACATAAAGAAGTGTCCTCTGCAAAGGCGTAAAAATTGAGTCAGCTCGACCAACAGCCTCTTTCAGGAGCGTTATAAATGTCTGACTTGTTTTTTCCACTTGTAATGCAAAGGCTTGGAGAGCTTTGTTTAGATGATCCCGGAAAGAATCGCCACTATGCATCTCGCATAGGCATAAGTAAAATATAGGTTTTCAATTTATTTGCAAAAACGTCAAAGGAATGATTCGCAAGTCAAGGTTTTCTTTAATCAAAGTGAGATGGTATATCTTGTGTCGATTACGAGGTAATCGCCAGCGGAATGTATTTGATGTTTACCAGATATAATCGTTTCGCAATAATGCCACATTGATAACTTTAAGAATTTGCAATGTTGCCACTGAGAATCAAGAAAATATTGACAAGGAACAGAGGAATACGATGCCCACATTGCGATTCACACACACACACACATCATACAATAATAGCATGTTTGATGCCTACATTGCAACTCAAACATCATACCAAGGTATATTTAATAAGGTAGCCGCATCGGCCCAGCTGTTGGACAAATAAATGTCAAAAATGTTGTTGTAATGTTGAACCAAAAAATTAAAAAACAAAATTATGAATGAAAATCTCCGAATTACGAAGAGCTTTTTTGCATTTTCTACAAGAATTTGTGTAAAAAAATCTTGCCAATCTGTTTGTTTTGGCAAAATATTTTTGACATATCAAAATACAACAACCGATGTTTGTTGTAGAAATTCGCCGATGCGGCTACCTTGTATATCTACCTTGCATCATACACTTCACAATGGTAACAAATGTGGCAACACAACAAACAAAAGTACACAAATACCAGTCCGCAGTCCGGCAACGTAGCGCAGTGACAATGGCAAGATTTATTTTTCCATAAATAAATAGAATAATTAGAGGAAAATGGCTTATATTAATGTAGCCGAATGGTCTCCGGAACAAGTGACCGACTGGATAAAAGGTTTGGGAAGAGCAACGTGTGGATTTGTTGAATCGTTTGTGTGAATCATGTCATGTGGTGGTGCTCTTGTTTGTTGTAGGTCTGGATGACTCGATGTATAAATATGTGTTCTCCTTTCATAATAAGAAAGTCGGTGGTCACCAGCTATTGAATATTAGGCCTTATGAGCTGGAACAGCTAGGCATGACTTCCATCGGCCACCAGGAAATAGTTTTGGAAGCTGTGGAAAATTTGAGAAACTTTGTAAGTTGAATGAAGTATAGTACTGTGTTGTTGGAGGGGGCAGGGCTATTGACAATTTCTTAATACCGTACTTCTTATTTGGTAGCACTTCAACTTGGACAAGGAAAACCTACAATTTATGGCGCTGCATGTGGCGACCGCTGCTCGTTGCCTCCACCGTCAACTGGCGCTGAAAACGGGAGAGACTATGATTGAGACGCAGGTTCTCAACGATATTACGCGAACAATTGCCACAATCAAGCCTTTGATATGTTGGCTGGACCGATCACCTTTCCTCGGCCAGTTTCAGTTTACTGAAATTTGTCGAAAAATGCTCAGACTAGGTTTGGAAATGGCAACGATCGCACAAAGAGAGCGCTTCGTAGAGCGACCAGTAGAACAAATTCGGACGACGGCTGAGACATTGGAACGTTTAGCTAACTACATTATTCAGGACATCACTGATCCGATGCTACTACAACCGGCGTCCCTTAATTTAGTTACTTTGAAGAAGAGGGAGTCTGAACTTGGTTTCAATATTGAAACTAGCTACCATGGGGTTCATCGGGTAACAGATATTAAACACAACTCACCAGCGCACAATTCGGGAAAAATAGAAGACGGCGATGAAATAGTTCAGATAAACTATCAAACGGTGGTTGGGTGGCAATATAAAACAGTACTACTACAGTTGAGGGAATCATTGCCCGATGTATTGCTAACACTCAAGAAACGGCCAAAACACACAAAAATTTATGGTCAGATTTACATGCAACCATATCGCCTTCCTAGCAAGAAACGGAACATTGGGACGCGATGGGGAGAAAATGTCCCAAGCCCCCGACCAGGATTTCTTGATGTCCCCGAGACTACATTCAAAATGCCTCCGTTGACATTGAACGTGGAAAATGAGAAAAACGATGATGCTGATACAGATTCCATATGCAGTGATATTTTAACTCCGACGGACGCCAAAGTTTTGGAGAAGGAAAGTCGTTTGTATTATCCGAAGCCCAGAGCAATGCTACAAAGACGAAATACTATTTGCGGGGATGAAGTCATGCGACACAAAAGCTTAGGTGTTGTGTCCCATTGGATTGAGAGCAAATCTGGCATAGGAGGAGATCCCTCATCACCCAGTTTACGAGACAAATCAGTTTCCTTTGGTTTTGGGCTCGAAATTAATCCGAGGCCTACGACATGCATAGGTATTAGTGGCGGATCTAATTCCAAATACGTTGGCGAGTTCAACGATAAGAAATTGCGTAAAATCGTTGAGCAGTCTAGTGATAAGTCACTCTCATCCAAACCTGGAGTATGCAAAGTGGTGCGCTTCGATGCCACAATGAAGGCTGAGGATTACCCACTTGACGAAAAGTACACATGCAATGTTCAGAATACAATATTGGAGACATTTGAACCGATTCCATTTGCGGACGAAGAGGAAGATGGCACGGAGTCGCTACGATTTGCTCAAGAAAAATCAGACGTATCAGCAGAGGGCCCTAACAAGGAAAACATTAGCAATAAAAACTCCTTGGTTGAGACCATAAATATTCCAGTGGTAGTAAGACGAGGTAGACTTGATAAAAGTCATAGTACGCCGGCCTATGATAACTCTGGCGAGGACTCCGATACACCTCCTGCCATTGAACCAAGAAAGGAATTTTTAATAGTAACGCCACCTGTACCCCCGCCACGCCCCAAAAAGCTACACGAAATGAGTCCACGCACAGTCCCCATTCCTCCACCCAAACCCCCAGGCCTAATGCAAGGAATAACCACATCGCCTGTACCTCTGAAAACACAACAAATTCAGCATGAATCGTCACAGCCGAAAATGACCACGAATAGTCCGAATGTATCGCCGAACAATGCAGGGGATGCCAGTGCGATCCATAATAGTACATTTTCGCTGGCAGCCACAAGTGATGCTCCAACAGAAGGAAGTGAAATTCACACTCCTACAAAAACCAGAACATTGACACTGAAAAAGAAACACAGTTTGATTAGCAAGAGGAGAAATGTTAATCTGAAAATTCTAGGTACTGGCGACATTCAGGGTTACCTGTACCGAAGGACCAAAGACAAACGAGGTGTCACTTTCTGGGATCGTTTGTACTTCGTAATGTTGGACACAATTTTATATGGCTTCCGTTCCAAAGAAGCCTCGAAGGCGAACTGTGTAATTTTTCTTCCAGGTTTTACAGTTTCATTAGCAAAGGTTAGTACTCATTTAAATTGATTTAAGCCATAAACATATATTCGAAAGAGTCAAATCTATTTGTTTTATAAATTATTTAGGAGGTCCATTCGAAACCATTTGCCTTTAAGGTCTACCACTCGGCAAAGACTTTTTACTTCGCTGCCGAATCACAAGATGCACTGAACCAATGGGTAGAATTTATAAGAGTGTCCACATTAGCGCAACATACCAACACACTAAACGGGTCAGAGGCAGAAATAGACTCTAGCACATTGTTCTCAGAAAATGATAGCTCCAGTGAAGAAAGTGAATCTGTCGTTACAAAAAATCTTTGCACTCCTTCTCCGCAAGCAAATAGGGAAATGTCGGTGTCTTCGGCCTCAGTTCAAACAAAAACGCCAAATTCGACACCTATATCTACAAAGAGCGATCGACGCTACCTGGGTTCCTTGAGAAAACTTACGAAGGGCTCATTGCAATTTAAAAGTTCTTCTGCTAATGAGAAAAAAATGTCCAATGATATTCCTGTGCCTACAGACCAATTCCGGTCATATCGTAAAGTACCTGGTGGTAATTCTGGCATTCAGATTGGAACAAATGCTCCCGTGTATCAAGATTCGTCTCTACACCCAATCAATGTGTCTAGCACTAATGTTCACTGCGGAGAACAACAGCAGTCAACACTACTGCCTCAACAGCAGCCCCAGCAACGACAGCCTGTTCAACAACCGCAACAACAACATACCGTAGCGTTGACTTCTACTAACGAAAAAACTGTTCATTCACACCCGAGACAAACGTCAAGTGGATGTGAAACATCTATGGTGAGCCTGGAACCGCCCTCATCGCCAGCACCCGTGCCGCTCATTTATAAGGATGCCACATCCATGACGTCAAATGTAGGATTAACTGATCTGAGTATCCCACAAACACGACTAAACGACGAAGAAACCATTCAGCAATCCAAGGGTGTGACGAGCCCTAGCAAGAGTGTGAAGAAAATACCGTACAACTTCATTCATGCCTCAAATCCCAATTTAGTGGAGTTCGATTTCCAAACATCACGGACTTTAGACTACAATTTACCGAAAATTAATTCAACTAATGCGTGGGATGCCCTTCCCACTAACATTCAAGGCTTTGTAACTCTAAAGGATTTGATGCTACAGAAGCAAGAAGAGGAGGCCCAAGAAATGTACAATAACCGCGTTCTATTAGGCGTAGAAAAGAAGGAAGATCACAAACGAAACGTTGCTCAGAGGCAACAAAATCAAGGTAATGGATTACCTGACGATGGCGGTGGGGGCCAACATTGCGAAGATCAAAAAGTTTCAAAGACTCAGAGCCGCAGTCTTCCTAAACCGCCTGATTACGAAATTAGCTTTAAGCCAGACGATGAAGATATACAACTTACGCGGACAAAAGAAGGATTAAAATTAAGAGATTTTGGCTATGAACTCATATCTGGCGATGAACCATTGGGTGCACCATCAACTACTGCTCGACAATACCTTCAAAGTAATCGTCATTTGACGCAGCACACAGATATGCACGACACCATGTGTAGTAGCAGCAATTGGACCTCTGCTATGAAATCAAAGTCATTTTTACTCTCCTCGAATAAGCTTAAAAAGAACTCCACAAGTAGTAGCTGTTCATCTGCCGATTTTAATATTGGTCCTGGGGGCGAACGTAGACTAGGCAGTTTTAAGAAGAAAGGAAAACTGGAAACTTTTAAGACCTCTAGTGAGAGAATTTTCCAATTTGGCAAACATGGATCCTCCAGCAGCGCCGCAGGAACGACAATGACTTTGCCCCTTAACAAAAAGACGAGCAATTTGTCCAGCGATGCCTGCGGAAATTCTGGCATTAAGAAAAGTCAAACATATAACAACGAACTGAAGGAAAAAGCTGGTAAATACGATGCTCAACGAAAAAATTCTGCTCCAATGCCAATATTTGGTAAGTTGAGTTTTTCTAGCTCCTCTTCGGCGCCAAACGCAAATAACAAAAACGATAGCAAGAAGGACAAGAAAAACTGCAATTCGCCCCTATTCCATCGGACACTTTTCGGTCATCAAAATAATGCTAATAGCCAGCAAGAACATATAAGCGGAAGCAATGCATACACTGGCCGAGATTATGACCAGGAGATTTTTTCTCAAGTCGTGTTTCCCAAGAAGAATTCCAACCGTAAACAATCTATTGTAACGCCAGTTGCTAACAATGATATTATAACTGCCCCTGATGTAACTGCGCCGCCACCTCCATCGAAGGCTAGTAACGCTAATGATATTCCACAATCAGTTTCCGGCGTTTCAACCACCGAGTACCCCAACATGGAATGTCCTCCAGTCTTCGAACCGGACATCTACTCATTGGATCCAAATGCCAGCCTCTTACTGAGACGAAATAATAATAACAACCACAACAGTAGAGAAAACGAAAACAACTGATTCAATCAGTCCCTTAATTATTACTCTTATTTAGCCTCTGCACATCGTACAGGAAAATAATTGTACTCAGACGATTCTTGAAATTTGTATAATTTGATCGCCGATCAGCATTATCATGGTGTAATTTAGTCTTCCCTTTAGTTACAGTTCTATTCAGAATATCTATTATTTAGCATTACATCTATTTTTGTAGTCGAAAATTGGCCTAACTATTATTTGAAAAATACTGGTCACCATGTACATAGTATACATAAATATATACATACATATATAATATCGCAAATATTTACAAACAATAAATAATTTAAAACAAATCAGACAATTTCATTATGCATGTATTAAAATGTGTGTGTTTCTGGAATCGTAATTTTTGGTGTTAAATATTTTTTAAACACATTTAACACAAAAAATTACTTAACTGGTAAAATTCGCAGCCAGTTCAAATTTAATGATGAACTATAATGAATCAACGAAAAAGTATTAAAAATATCCAAAGAATTGTTTCAGAAAAACTTCGTTTTTACATTTTTTATCAATGTTTTATTGACAGGTCTTAAGATAAGCTTCATGTAATTTATCTACAAAATCATCATCGTTTTGTATCAGATAATTGAACGCTTGTATAAACTGATGCTTAGTGAGAGGCTCCTTGTGTTCCTGTTCTGCAAAATTGGTTTGAGAAGGCGTAGTCGATGATGGTTTGTCGAACATTGTTGGGGGCATAAGTGCCGGCTTGGCAACCTCTGTTGCCTGTGACAAGCTTTTTTGAAAATTCAGATTTGAAAAGATTTTGCTAAGTGATATCTGTTCGCCAATATTTGACGTAGAAGAGCATGTCGCCGCTGTTAGGGCCTGTGCAAAGCCAAAGTCGGGGCCTCTATTTAACACAGCCGTATTGTCCAATGTTGAAGTGCTACCAGGTCGTGGTATTGATTGGTTGTGCAAGGAATTTGTAGAGTTTTCCAGCAAGGAGCACGATAGGCGTTTTGTGACGGTCGAATCTTCAAAACCGGCTGTCTGCTGCTGTTGTTGCGCTGGCTGTATATCGCGCTGTTGTTTTTCAAGTTGTTCTACTAATAAAGTATTGGGTAATATTCGTGGTGTGTAAGCGATATCAGTTGTTGGTTTAGCGGCTTCAAAAAATTTCAAAACGTTTCCCGAAGCTTTCAAAGGCGCTTGCTGTTTTTGGTTCTGGTTATTGAACTCTTGTTGTGCATTGGACAACATTTTAAATATGTTGACATTATTGTTATTGCTGTTGCCTGCCTTTGCATCATTATTAACGTGTGAACCGTTTTCAGTTGTACTGGCTACTGTGTGTACCAGGTCGCTAACCAATTTGCTTATGCGATCACATTCCAAGCTGTTATAAAACCAAAAACCTCGGATACGGGACCTTTCGTTGCGGTACAACAAAAAGGGTGCTTGGGCCTGTAGTTCCAGATGTGGTGTAATGGGTTCCACAAACGAGGTTGTATTTAAGCGGTTATTAATGAAAATACTGTGAAATGGTTGTGCATTGCGACTATAAATGAAGAAAGCACCCTCAACGTCCGTTTTCTCCCACTCATTCTGATCCGAATCAAATATATAAAATGCTACATGAGATGACGTATCTACAATATCCTTGGCGTAAGGATCGACCTTTTTGATTGCAGCCAAGTTCATACGCGTTTTGCTCTTATCTGCCATCATGACTTCTGTTAATCTCGATATGAGCGCTGAGATACCGTTTGGAGACCTAAATATGTTGCCTCTGAAAAAAAAACTAAGGAGAATAAGAAGAAATGAAATATCGATGAGTCTTTATATAACCCTTGGAAGACAACCCAATCCATATCGAATCATAGGTGCATGCTCTTTGTTGCAAATACTCATTTAATTGGTCGTATACAATTACCAAGATATATATGCAAGAAATTATCGTGTAATCGAACCACAATGAACATTCGCAGATATTACTCTATTAGATGACGGAATGAGAACCATCATGGAAGTGGAAAAGTAAACAATTAACAGATACGTGTGATTAGGATATGGTAGCCACAGCGAGATAGGCCTGAACTTCTAACATACACAAAGCGAGCAGCAATGGCCTCCAGTGCCCAGAGTTATATCAGTTCTCAAAAATAGCTAAAACTACCTCACACTCACTTTACGAAAATTTCGAAATGTACAAGCAAATAAGCCACTTCGATTGCGATTTTATGGGAAATTGTTGAATCCTTCCTTCGGAATGCCACCAGAGATATGTCGCTCAGGAAAGAAACTGGTTCAACGAACAACTCAGTGAAATGAACGATCAGAACGTTGACGTTCTATCCACTGTAAAATGATTACCGTCGCGCTATACACAGCAAAATGGCTACTCTAGTGTGAGGTGTTGAATATATTTTAATTCTTTGTGCGTTTGACATGATATGATAAAACTCTCAACGCGTTGGATGTGTTTGGGCCTTAAATCTAGTTTATTTATTGAATATTAGAAATTTAAATGAAATGCAAATGATTTTTTGCATCTTTCGTCAGAAATTACTTTGTTATTTAGTCGTATTCAAAGGTTTGACAGTGTGTGTCATATTGTGAGAAACTTTAAAATTAAATGGCATTTACATCATAAATTTTTGCCGGGTTACCTATTTAATGAGGATTTATTTGACATATGGAATTGACAATTTAATCCCATTACTATTAGTTTAAAGATGGATTTTTCAACATTGGTAACAAGAAATTTTTTATTTGTGCTTGAAATCATATTCCCGATTCGAGTTTGAAAAGAAAACCTGACATTTTCCATTAATATTTCGTGGTTTTGGTAAAATTTTAAAAATATGTCAAATTAACAAAACAAATATATGCATTTGCTCTTATTTATTCTGTAATTATAGTGCACAAGGCAGAGCTGTATTTTTTTTTTTTTTTTTTTTGACAAAAGATAGCGTACTTTGTATAATTGTACCATGCTACAATTATACAAGTAATACCAAAGACAGACGAGAGCCTTAATTTGCATTAAATAGTTCTTAATTTGAATTAATATTTACCCCTGACAGACGAGAGTTTCTGCATTTATGAATCAGTTTTTTGTTTCAAAACTATTGTTTGTCTGTGTGTAGTAAGAAAATATTGTCATTTGTTTACATTATTTTTTAGGATTACATCTTTATGAAGAGTATATATGCCAGACAGGAAGAATAACAGCTATAATGATGATGAAACAGCGCCCAATTCGACGGAATGTTGTATTTTGCCTTTATTTCTAATTTTTATTTTCAAAAACGTAAACAAATTTGACAACAATCAATTTATTTTCTACAGCATTGCCATATTGAAATTGGTTAATTCAGTATAAATTCAGTTTGATTTTGTGCATTTACAACACATAAAAATGAGGATAATGTACAAGTTAATTTGAATTAAGGCTATTAGCAAATTAAGGCTGTCGTCTGTCTAGGCTATAACTGAATGCTTAGCAGATTTGATTGTATCGTAATGGTACGTTTACATTTAACCGGATTTCGTTAACCCAGTGGGTTTCAATTGTCAATTCCTTTGCATATATGCAAATAAATCCTCATAAAGTATGACATTTTTGATTTATGTAGAACGACCCAGCAGAAAATTTTTTTACACATTATACTTGAAATAAAAATACGATAATGCAATTTTAGGTTCACAATATATGTATAGAGAACCAGAAAAAAATCGGCGTTTAATTTTTGACATGAGAATTTCAATTACTTTAAATTAAAAGAGTTCTAGGCGCGAGTAAACAATTGTACATTTCTAAATCAAAGAAATTGCAACAGAAGTTCGTTACCATTTGGTTTAAAATTTACTCAAATTTCCTAATGGGAATATTTAAAGAAGCAAATCGTTTTGAAATGAAAAATGACAATTTTTAACGCTATTTGTATTATTTTGTATGAGTTAACTCTACATATGGCAATGGTAGCGATTATATGTTTAAAATAAATCAAATTAATTGATATTTCATTTGTGTGGTTTTCGTTTTCGATATATCAAACTGACACTACAAGGCAGGGCACAGCTACCAACTGATTACAATTTTTTCTCAAGGTGGCTTGTTCCATCAAATCAAAATACATATTTTGTGTATGAGAATGTATTGTTTTGAATACAATGTCAAATAATTTCAAAATTAATTGTGGCTCACAAGAAAAATTGCATCTGTTAAACAACAGCAGATGTAATTTTTAAGTTTAGGGGGTTCGCTTTATTTCTTTATGTAACTCGAAATTTTGCAGTCATATGTTTCCAATTTTTTCGTAAATTTGCTTTGACAACATTCAGATTTGAATAATTTATATTTATTATTAAGTTCCCTGCTGCTAAAACTTATAAATATAATTTGCAACACCGATAGATTAATATTGAAAAGATTGTGGAGCTTTAGAAGTGTGAGGATAATCGGTTCAGATTAAAATATAGCTCCCATGCATACTTTCGCCAGATTCATGCATTAGCGCCGTCGGACAGTGATCCCTTTTTACTGGGTTTATATTCATAGCTACTTTAAGAATTCTTGGTTTGTTCAGTAATTCCATGAAATAAAAAAAAATCATACGATTCTCAAATAAGACTACCTTCTGTAATTATGCCATGCAGAAATTTTGAAATCAAATTGATTTTGGCTCTTTATTAGAACATTAATTCATAATGCTTTATTTTTATTTGGTAATATGGCAATACTTTATAAATAGGATTTGTCTTTTTTTCCTACAAATTGATTGAACAATGAAAATCATAAATATAACGCAAACCCCATAGATAACAATCCAGAATATTTGCATTTTCAAACGCCAGTTCACATAATCCGTATAATTTTCGAATCTGTTGCGATATTGGTGATCCAATTCGAACTTGCTTCGATGAGGAAAAAAGGACAAATAAAAATCTTCCAGTAGGTGACGAATCAATTCATTCTCTTCCGGATATTTAGAATTCAAGTTGTCATTAATGCAATTGAATTTTCTGAAATAATCCAATAAAAATATAATTTATCGAATAAGCAATATCAAAAAATACCTTGGATCTCTTCTGATTCTGTCTAAAGCATCTACAACATCCGTTACATTTGAGGTGAGCATCATGAAATTATTTAACACATTTCTCTTCGAGTTTATTTTATACTTATACATGGGTTTTTGGGCAAAATTTAAGGTTAATGCTTCCACCAACGGCAGACATTTCTTCACCAAATCCTTGGTGACCGTGGGCTAAGTATAAGTGACAAGTCAGTAAGCATCCACTAATATTCACAAATGTATCTTACCAAATGAGAATCTTCGTATCGTTCGTATAAAACTGTAGTATGTTGATTTTTATTCAGGGCCGCACTTCCGTACCCATTGGATTGACTGCAATTTTGAATAACTTCTTCAAAAAAACGAACAGCGGACCAATCCAAAGGTAAGGGAAACATTTTTGCCAATAACGTTCTAATTTCTCTATCGGACCATGTAAGAGAATTGTCTGTGTCAAACTCGCCAAAAATACTCTCTATAGTCTCAGTGAAGGTCTCCTCCATTAGAAATGAATAGTACAGAAAAGCAAATTGCAGATCATCAGGTGCCCGAAATCTATGTGTAGCCGTAATGTATATTTCATGGGCAAACTTTTTTTGCATCGCCCCAATGATTTGCTTATCTAATAGGAATCCTACATGGCTAATGACGTGCCTTGCTTTAAATCCATATCGACGATTTAGCAGCATGTTCGTGTATATTAATGATTGTGAAAAATTGTCACTTGTATTTAGAGGGGATCTAAAATGTTTGGCAGTTGTGTGTAATATTGGGGCATTAATGGACTGATGATGTTTGTTGAAAGTATCTACAAGAGCCTTCACATTGATCGGGTGTGTCAAATTAGAACCATTCAATATATCCGCAAAGTGTTTTGTAGACCTTGTGCTAACAATTTTGCCCTTTCTATTTCTAAAGTTTCTTTTATTTTCTGATTGTTTTTGACTACGTTGGTTTTGTGTTAATGCCTCAAGAAAACCTATGCCGGTCTTATACTTAACATCATTGACACAGTCTCCTCCATCATATTGGCATTCTGAAACGTTGCAGTGATAATCACATATCTTATCACCAATATATGTCCAGGGGCAATTCTGAGAACATTCTGGAACAAGCCAGGCTTGGAAGACCCGTGTGCCTTCTGAATGAGTGTAAAGATCTTCTGGATACAACTCAGAACCCAGAAATATGTCGTCATTCAAATAAAGAAACCTATTGGATAAATTGGGGATACGGTGAATAAACGTTTCTATGGCAGCACTTGAAAATAATGGCAACCATTGTTCGTTTGGTATTAACAATTTGTGTGGTACAATGGTTATACGTTCATTTGACAAATCCAACCACCCCGGAATTTGACCATTTGTAACAATGTATATATGTCGAATCCAAGGGGCATATTTTTCCAGCGAACGTAAAGAATATTTTAATTCATTCTTATCATCAAATCTATTTTTGTCATAATGCTCTCTGTATTGAGTTATTGTTTGATAAAAATGTGAATCGCTGCCATTAACCCACGTGTAAACAACATCCATTGGTTCGCAGGCCGATGATGTTGATGCTCGTTTTCCATTTTTCTGTAAATTAGGTGGACTATATTAACAATTTATTACGAGGATTAACCTAATGTTTACCTTATGTTTAAACCAGAATAACACTATTATAAGCATTGAAGCCAACAATATTTTCCACAGGCGCTTCTTAAGTGTCCATGCCACATACTTAGATGTCCTTCTTAAGCACATGATTTGAACGGGTCATGTAAATATTATGGGTAACCATTGCGATGACAAACATCCATACTGTTGTATTATTCGCGAAAGTTATTTCTGCCCAAACTCCGTAAATGTTAGTGTGATACCAATAAAAGAAACACAGTTGTTTTTCTGCCACCAGCAATTGTCCCGGCAGAACAAACACATGTACATACTATTCATTGTGCAGTGCGTCTGTTTATGTATCTTGCATTACGAGCAACTTCAGCTAATGGAAATCATATTTTGACTATATTCGGCAAAAACACACACACAGTCAAATCATAAAAATCCTGGAGCAAAGCAATGTATTCAATCTTTTAAATATAAATATGAATATATTAAATAATATTAATATATTAAACTATCCTAAAATTTCCACTGTTATACACTACACAGATACCGGCAACATTTAAATATTTCCGTATTTTTTGTGTACATATGTACACAAAAAATACGAAAATATAATGAAAAAATGAACATGAGTATGTACCCACCACTCAGCTGATTTCAAATACATATATGGTGTGTTTTTATTGGTTGTGTCTGTTTACTCGATAGTTTGTAACAATTGTTAGCAAATGTTACTAAAGATGTGTTCCCAAACCTGCAATATAGTACTATATTGTACTAGTTTTACAATTTTTGCTAGAAAAGCGTTTCCTTACGTCGAAAAGCAGGAAACATTGAAGTTATATTTAAGAGAGTTAAAACCAAAATGGTGTTCTCTTCTCCTATTTTCTGCAAGACCAATTTGGCCTAGCACGAAATAGTAAATGTAGTAAATTATGAATTTGACATTTGATTGCCAGAGATATACTGTCCGAAATAAAGCATATGAAAGTTAGCGCTTCAACAAAAGGGACACACGCAAAGACGCACACACATTTGCTTAAAAAAAAAAAAAACAAATAAATTTAAAAATAGACAAACAGATTTTTTTATTCTCTTTTGAAGTATAGCGAAGATGAATGGCTGGCAGAAGATTCAGATGAAGAAACTATAGAATGAAGACTTGGGTTGGTTAATCGTACTAACCAATGTGTGTACATTGGTCCAAAATATCTTGGGCTTAAGTCAAGTTTAGGGGCTCTACTTGGATCGCTTTGACATTTTTACAGTAAGTAGTCCTCGATGAACTGATTACAGTGATACATATATATTTTATAGGGAGAAATGCATACTTCCCTTGAAAGTTCGGAGAGTATGTTCTTTTAATCAGCCGTATCATTTTAAAGGTTATGGTTTGTGCTATATAACTAGATGCAGAATATATTGCATAACCATGTATGCGCCTGTCCGTATGTGAAAGTCTTATTCTTAAGTTCTCTTAAAAAGTACCCGATATAATCTTTTAATGATACCCATATTGCCTTGGTGGCAATAGAAAAAGGGCTGTTTTAAAGAAAATATGTTCCGAAATGTCAAGGCCAATAACTCGGGAAGTATGCATTTCCCCACATGAAATGTATATCACTCTAATCCGCACAAGGAGGGCTACTTACGGTAATCATTTCAAAATGATCCGAGTGGAGCCCCTAAACTTGACTTGTTCCATATTTTGTTGTTCAAGTTTGCTAAAACATTCCAATCAAAATATCTACCAATTTGTTTGTGCATTAGGTTTCCAATCAAAATATCTACCAATTTGTTTGTGCATTAGGTTTCTGTAGTCTGTTTTTGTCCTTAACAAATGGAATTTTTGATTTTGACGTTTCTTTATGTTTTAACTATTTTTCGTTCCTTTACTTTTTTTTACTAGTACAGGAACGAACCTTAAATATAGTCGGTTTACCAAAAAATCCAGTAAAAGAGAGTAAAGTGAAAGAGCAAGTTTGACAGTTCAACAACAAAAAACTTACTGGAGTTTACTGAAAGAAACTTTTCTCACCCTATACCAGCATTTCATAGCAAATTTATGCAGTACACAAAAATCTCTCTATTGATAATGGTCTAATTTGTATTCGTAAATATATTAGTATAAATCCCATTCCCATGATACATTGAAATATTTTTTATATATGACATAAGAAATTGAATTAACTTTGTAATGAAATTGACCCTAAGGCTTTATGATTATGAATAAATATCATGAAATGAAAATGAATTTTATGCAATAACACTGTAATTTTCGAATCAGCTGTTTTATGACCAATTGACAAAAATAATGTGAAAGATATCCAAACATTTTAATTTCCAAAGTGCAATTTTAAACTTTGTTGTATAAAAAATATATAAAATGGAAGAAAATTCACGAATCTGCAGATTTGCTGAATCTTACTGATTGTTGTCTTTTTACTTTTCCCAGTATTATTGCAGAAAATAATAAAAACGGCTTACTCTCTGAAACAGAAGTTAAACGACATATACATTAAAACTTTTTACCGGGTTAACCTACTTTATGAGGATTTATTTGACATATATGCAAAAGAATTGATAATTGAAACCCACTGGTTTAACGAAATCCTTTTAAATGTAAACGTACTATTACTGAGTAAATCTTAATGGAAAAGAAACCAGATACAGCTCCATATATTAATTTGTACTGGTTCAATGTGTATTTAACAAGGTGTAAGTGGCAATCATATGGTCTCAATGTTTTTTCTTTACTGTTTTTAAAGCAATTTGTCAAAAAATCAATCATGGAAATAGTTTCGTTCCTATGATTGTATTTTTGTTCCATTAACTCAATTTAAAATAATATCAAAAATCAATAAAAAATGGAACAAAAATACAATCAAAAGAAAAAAATCAAGATGAAAAAGGAAACTTAGGCTTAAATCAATGTCGGTAATTTTTCACACATATTTGTCCAGTACACCTTGAATTCCAAATTACAAATATGGGTACCCTTCTACCATGCTATCTCAAAATCAAAGAGATAATGTGACATAGAACATTCGAATCTGTCTATTAGCGTGTTTAAAAATGAATCTCGAAAATCATATTTAAAATTTTGTTGCGGAGCCTTCAATTTATTGATAGGTGAAAACATTAGTTCCTACCATGGTATAATTATTACAAGGTAGGGCACAGCTATCAACTGATTACAATTTTTTCTCAAGGTGACTTGTCCCATCAAATCAAAATAACTATTTTTTGTATACAATGTCAAATAAATTGAAATATATTCAAGTAGAATTGAAATGAAAATAAAGTTTTTAACGCGTTCGTCTGGAAGTAATTACTTTGTTATGGATGAAACAAACATTTTATGGTATTCCCTACTGGATTTTGGGAAGAAATCATAACCATTCATTCATTTTTCGCATTTTTAGTTTTGTGTTGAAAAATAAATACAAACACTTCTAGCGTATATTTATTTTATTTTTGGCAGAATAGGTCACACGTGCACAGTTTTTTTTATTCACCTTCGAACAGAGATTTTACTGGCATTTATGATAATTCTTCTAGGAATATCTGTTGACAAAAACAAATAAATAACAGTTTTGCTCAAATCATTGTTACCTTTCTGTCACTACTCAAAACTAAAATATTTGTCAGTTGAGATTTGTCCCAGTGCACACTTATGTAATTCCCCGAAGCAAAATATTATTGTAGTTCGGAACTCAATCTAAGTACGCCCAATGTTATGTAATTTTTTCCATGAAATTACATTGACGGGGACAATCAACAATAGAATTGACAATTCTATTGCGAATCGCAAGATGTAGATTGGAAAAAACCAAACAAAGGATTGATTATATTGGCAGTAAAAGATATAATGAATTGCCACCAGATATAAAATCACTACAGAATATTTCGAAATTTAAGTCTGCCTGTAAAAAATACTTATGTTCCATAAAAGAAACACTTCTAGTATGAATGTTTACTAAATTTATATTTTTTAATTAAATATCATGGTGCAATTATAAAAGGTAACAGCAAATCCCAGCTGATTTGATTCATACGTAATACTAGTGTCAATAGGAATTTGACAAATTATAGGTGTGTCTGGTTACCCTAAAGTTTGTAACAATTGTTACAAATTGTTACTGGAAGTCGTCTGTTAACCCAAAAGTTCTGCAAAAGAGAGCGGTTGGAGAGAGAAATTTTGACAGTTCTTTCAGTGAGAGTTTGCAAATTCTTGCTGGAAAAATTTCTTCTTGCAATCTCTTGCAACTCTTCTTCTTCTCATACATCGACATTCAATCAGATGTTTTCTATTGTTTGTTTATTTATTTTTGTGCTTTCAATTTGAAAATAATTTTTTTTGGAATTAGCAAGACTAATTGTTTTTGGAGAAAAACTTTACAAAACGAGAAAAACGTAAGTATTAATATGTAATAGGAAAATAAAAGACTATTTCCAGCATTTTTAGAAAAATGACGGAAGAAGATCAGTGTGTCTCTGTAGCCAGTGGCAGTAAATTATTAAGCCCAAATATGGATTTGGATTTTTTTTATTTTTATTTTATTTTATTTCCTTTTTATTTCAAAAACTTGTTAAACTGGTTGTGTTTTCTTTCTTTTAATTCTTTATAATGGCGGACAAATTGGTTTGTTTTGACAAATCAGCTGATTAGTTGCAAGCTTCTGCAGGGATGCCGTCTGTTTACTTTTCGCATTTTTCTTGCAAAAGAGAATAAAACTACCTTACTCTCTCAGAAAGAAGTTACTGGACAATTCCTGCAGGGAAAGTAACCAGACACACCTTATGTTCTTAAAAATCACCCAACAGGAAAATTGGGAACGAATACAATTTGAAATTGTTCTTTATTAAATGTGCTCCCGTATTCAATTTACTCAATCTTCCTGCTGGGAAAGTTTGAGGAAGCAAATCTTTCTTGAAGGAATTACTCGCTATTCCAAGCATTGGCATATGTGTTACACATATATATGGCAATGGCTCAATTAAAGGAAAGATGTGGAAGCGATAGAAATATAAATTTGATAGATTTTCATTCATGTTTTTCAATTTTTATTTTGAGGATTCGAAAATATTCCATTTTCAAAATAAAAATAATTTGATGATAATTTGTTTGTTTGTTTACATTTTTCAGTCAAATCAGTTGACACTAGTAGAACTTACAACAAAAAATTTCCATGTGGTTGTTGTATCGTTTTTTGTACAACAACACTTGTTGTTACCTTCTATTATTATACCATGATTAAATATTAACATTTAATGATGTAATTCAAAATGTTGCCAATTGCCTCAATAATGCCACTAGGGCGCTGAGGCCAAAATACAGAAATGTAAATAAATATAAAAATTTAATAAATAATAAAAAATGCACTGTATTTACTATATCCGCTACTCTTTATGGGTTTTGTCATATTAGGTTCGTTTGTTTACTCAATCATTTGTACAAATTATTATAAAATGTTGTTCGTTTACCCAAAAGTCCAGTAAAAGAGAGAGTATTGAGAGAGCAAATTTGACAGTTGTGCTAATGAGTATTTGCAAATTCTTACGAGGAAAAATTTACTGAGTAAGAATTTTCTTGTACCATTTTGTTTGCGCCAAATAGTTTGTTGTTGTGTCGATACAACCTTCTTACTGAATGTTGTTCGTTTTAATTTTGCAATTTTCTCTCCATTTTGTTTGCGCCAAATAGTTTGTTGTTGTGTCGATACAACCTTCTTACTGAATGTTGTTCGTTTTCATTTTGCAATTTTCTCTCCTGGAAACGAAAAATTCGTATTTTATTCTCTGCAAATTCTTACTGAGTAAATGTTACTGGGAGAGTAAACGAACGAACTTATTGTCGTTATGTTTAAACGTCAAATACGTTTACTAAATTTAAGTATATCTGCTGGCAATACCCCTCTCACAACCAAATACACCCCTGTAATTGCTCAACAATTTTTGACATAACACATGACAACACGAAAATATGGCAATCTACGCTATGTCATCACATGACTGCTTAAAGATCATATGAATACGAAGAAATTTTCATTGTTAGACTGTGAAGATCGACGTCGTTTTTTTTTTCTTATGGAACAGAAGTGTACATAATTGTGTTTTTATTTTTTTTTCAAACGAATACAATTCCATTTTCTATTAGTTTTCAGTTCCTAAATACTCATTTATTTTTTTGGGAATATTGGAGTGTGTTGGGAAAAGAGGAAACTAACTAGAAAAAACGACATGAAGTCTGTGGCTGCGTTATTGTGTCTTTTGAGTTTGGTCATTGCTGAACAAGCTCCCGTGTTTCTTTGGGGCGTCAACAGGTACCTCCGTCATAATATTCAGCTTTGTTTCTAAAATTAAAAATGTATTTCCCCTTTAATATTTTAGCGAGGCTAAACCTGCATTAACAACTGTATCCAAAACGGAATTTTCTGAGATTGTTGCTTCGCAGAAAAAAGATAACACCTTGGTTGTGTTTCTCGAAAATGGCGTAAGTAAAACTTCATCAAAGCGATATTTAGTAAATGTGTTTAAATGTTTATGACTGAATGTTTAATAAAGAACAATACATTCTGACAGATATCAATAATGATAATTGCAATATTAAGATTTAAATTATGTATGAGTAACGTAATTGCATTCATGTACTTCCTTTGTAGTTGACCACAAAAGACTTTTCATGCACCAACGCCCTTACATCAAAGTCGTGCTACGCACATTTGCAAGAAGTCCCCGAAAAAACCTTCTACGCCTCGGTTGAAGATCCAGTCGATGCATTGAAATCTATTGGTGATTATGAGTACAATTCCGTGGATGCCACAGGAAAGCTGAGCAACAATTTGGAATTAAACGAAGGCAAAGTTGTATTTGTTACTTTTGATGATCAGTCAGAATCGAACCGGGCTGCTTGTTTGGAGTCGCATGGTAAATTAGATTAAATCATTTAGAAAGACAAAGACATTTTACGTTTTCATTTTTCATTCCAGATTCTATAATCACATCGATTTCCAAGCAATTGAATGGCAAGGCTATTTTTGTGTACACAACTGCTCCACAAACATCCTCATTGGCTTTGAAACGTGAACGTCGCGCAGCTGCTGATAGCAACGGTGTTGTTTTCCGAAGTGGTGCCGAATTGTTGTTGTACTACACTACACTTACCGTAGAAAACAGCAAAGACAAAAGCACAACCACTTTGACACCAACTAGCATGCTCGTGACACCAACAAACGCAACAGCTTTGTCAGTTACATTGACAACAACACCGCAATTGACATTTGACGTAACATTGTCTGGTGGATATTTCTTTATGACTAATGTCAAATGGAATGACATCTCGTTCCGCAGTAATGATGTTTATGCTCCCACTGACTTCTCGTACTTCTGCGGAAATTTAACTCTATATGGCAAAGGCACTGCCGAAGAACCAAGCACATACACCTTACATTGGAATTCTCTGCAGTTCCAAGCACCATTTGGAAGCACTACGAATAAAGATTTCGTGTTTGGAGATGCATGGCACTGCGTTGGTTTCTTCACTGGTGGAATCTTATCTGGCCTTTTGATTGTTGCCCTTTTATTAACCATCACATTTGTGGGTGTTTGCTGGATGATGGATATCAACACCATGGACAGGTTTGACGATCCCAAAGGAAAGACAATTACAATTAATGCTTCCGAGTAAATAATGTAATGAATGTCCACATTATTTCTATTCATTCCCTTCTTTCTCAAGTCATTTCCTTTAACTCTTGTTGTTACCTATTTAAAAAACAAATATTATTGAGTGTGTGTATAATTGCAATAATATCTTTGTATTTAAATTAGTTCAGCATCCTCGATTTAAATGCAGATATATTGTTGCTCTTAAGGTAATATTATACAAAACAAAATGAAGCCCGTTTAACGTCGGAGTTGGCCGTGGTTGGTTAATAGTGTAAAATCGCAAACCTCTTTCTAATAAGTATTTTTAGAATAGCTCATTTGTTGTATTATTTTTATTATCGAAATTTTGAACATAACAAATAAAAATGGTTGTTCTACAAACAAAATTGTCTTATTTATACTATTTTTCAGATTATTGTGCATCATTTATTTATGGAGTTACAACAAAAAATTATCTCGAGAATTTAAGAGTAGCGTTGTGTTGAGACAATTTAAGATAAACTAGATGTTTATAAAGTCAGAACTATTGTCAACATGAATATTATGTTGTGTGTTGTTTTTCGAAGTTCCAAGTTTTGGGTGAAGGAAATTTAAACATTTTCATTATGCAGTGGCAACTCTGCCTCGATTCCTTAAAGAGAGCACGAGAGAAAATGTTGAAAATGTACATATTAAGTAAAATGAATGAACAATGAATATCCAGTTTTTCACTGAATGTCTTACTTCGTACGCTGTGCGGCAGGACACATCTCTATTGAAAAGTAAAAAAAAAATATGAAGTGATTTTCAAACATAAAAATGTAAATAAACATTTTCATTCAATACAAAATCTTATAACCAATGTGTCAATTATATTTTTATATATGCATTTAAAATTATCAATGACTTTAAGTGGAAATAAATAATATATGCATACATATATACACAAACTTGCCTTTTTTATATGTATACGAAACGATGCTTCCGTGATAGTTTTTACATAATAAATAATTAATATTCCTCCGAAGTTGCGTATTTTTTAAATGATGAAGTAGAAAAAAATACAATGAAATGTACGTATGTACTACGTGAGACCTTGGCGAGGATGTTATTGAGTTTTATGAAAAATCAATATCAATATACTGAAACTTTTTTAATGTTTAGGAAGATAAATGTAAACAAAATGTATATTCACAATGGATTTAATTATATATATATATATATATATATATATATAACCATCAATATATATTTCAATATTTTAAGGGGGTAGACAAATGTACAGAAAAAAGTTCAATTTAGAAGTAGGCAATCTCAATATACAGAAAAATTCATGGTACAATTATACAAGAGAACTGTAATACACTCGTGTCAATATGAATATGACAAGTTATATTTTAAAAAATGATCCAACAGGAAAATTGGGCAGGCATAAAATCAAATTTGAAATTGTTCTCTATTAAATGCCAATTTACTGAACCTGCCTGCTGGGAAGGATTGAAGCAGTAACTCTTTCTTAATTCAAAATTTCCAGCATCGTTATATGTTTTACATACATATATAACTGGCAATGGCCCAATTAGAGAAATGCTGGGGAAGCATTAGACATATAAATTTCATAGATTTCCATTTATGTATTTCAATTTTATTTTGAGGCTTCATGACGTTGACAATATAGTTGCATTACTTACAACAATAATTGTCCATGTGGTTTTTGTATCGTTTGTTGTAAAACAGCCCTTGCTGTTACCATGTAAAAACTATTAAACTCACCTTACTTATAAACAAATACACAACATTGTAGCGTATTAAAGTAACAGATAAATAAATAATTGATTTCAGTTCTCCATCGACATGCTCCTGTTACAACTTCCACATTATTTGCAAAGGATGCCGCACAAACCAAGTTTGTTATTTTTGTTGTTGTTGACCATTTCCATGACATTTCTGGACAAAACATCTGCAAATCTTGAAACAGAGTCGCCACAGACTACTACCCCTGAACCGGGTGAGTATTGTTGAAATAAAACTGTCAAATTCTTTTATATTCCAAGATTGAAGTTTTCTCAAATGAGTGGTTTATTTTGAAAGTAGTTTAAGACACATTTTTTTCTTATGGTGAGACATTAAAGGTTTGGGTTTGATTCGTTTAAAAATATTGTTAATTTTGTTTGCGGGTTTGTGCCCTTAAACATGATAGAATAGGTTTGTCTTCGCACCAGTAATAATTACTCAGTAACACTTTTGTGAGAGTAAGAGAGGTTCTTTTTCTTCAAACAGTAAAATAACTAAAAGCAAGGTGTATTTAATAAGGTGTATGCATCAGATACAACAACAAATATTTTACAAAAACAACATTGTTGTTATAGAAATTAAATTGTCATGCTGACAATAAGTTTTTGACAAAAATAAACAAAACAATTATTAATTTATTTTTGCCAAGAACTATTCTTTGAGGAATAATTAATGAATTTGTGTATTCTTGGGTTATTGGCGGTTTTAGGTCAGTGAAAAATAAAGTTTACGACCTGGTCGCGATTAATTTTAAGTTGCCCACATGCAGCCCATGGCTCCTTGTTGTTGTTTATATTGTGAATTACCATCAGGTTTTTCTATGGAGTGGCTTCAAATCTTGCCTTCTTAAAGAAAATTGAGGGACATAAATCCCCGACCAAAGACTAAATCATGGATATTGTGTTGACCGTATAAAATCTTTCCATAGTCGTATTTAACCTCCGCCGAGGATTGTGACAAGCACTAAGGGGCCGATTCCAATATAGGCTAACATAATCTCCTCGGTTTTATGAATGGACAGATTTCCATACATAACATAAAATATGTGGACGAATCGGCGAACGGTGTTATAACTGATTTAAGCCTAGGTTTCCTTTCCGTCCGCCTCTGCGAATGTAGTTTTCTTGAATTTTTATTATTAAAAAATCATAAATTTAAAGACCATTCATGAAATTGAAATATAATATTTACTTTACAAACAATTTACAATTTACTTTACAAACAATAAAGAAAAAGTTTGAAACCATATGATTGTCACTTACACCTTATTACATATCTATTGTTTTTTTTACTTGTACTTGAGTGAATTGTCCAAGTAAGATTTGTTAATACTCAGTAATACAAAATTCAAAATAGCTTTCTCAATTTACAATATTTTACTAAAGTTTTGTGGAAAAAACAACATTTGTAACAATTGTTACAAAATATCAAATACGTAGACAGACCTATTACATAAAATAATTTGTATTGTAAACGCTTCTAGAAAACCAAGATTTGTATCAGAACCTAAAATGGGCTTATTAAACCACGTTCAAAATAAACGACTCAAATAAATAAAAAAGCGTAGATAACTATGAACAGTAATACATGGCAAGACAACGTGAATAATGACATTTGTTGGTTTAGTTTTTACACAATTTTATTCAAAATAATTACTTGAATTTTCATAGAGATATTGGTATTAATTCAGAATAATTGGTTTCTAATGGATCATATCGATGTATCGATGTATTTGCTAAATTTCCTTTTTTCATCCTTATTTATTTTAGTTAAAATAGTTTTATGTAGTGCGGCCATTGCCGTTATTTGTAAATGTTTGCTCATAACATGGCCTAGAAATAAGTGGTCTGTTCCAGAACCTACAAGAATGTAAAATTTTTTACTACGATACCAATAGTAAAATTTAGAAGATTATTGTACGGGAATAGACCAAAGGTCTTCCGGGAGACGAATTCATGCTTTAATCTTCTCTTGCTGTCAACTTTTATATAGACATCTTTAGGAAGAATATTTTTTACTTCCATGAAACATAAAATGACAAAATCCGGCTAAATTGTTGATTCTACAAGTTATTTAAACATCGCTATATCAAGCTTCAAAGCTCTTTGCGCAAAATATTCGATTAAGGGAACCTCCCCATTCTCGATTTTAATTTTTCAAGAATTTCAATGGGCTGGTAAATTTTTTTCCCTTAAGTATATATGTAGATGGCTATACTAATATTTGTCATAGAATAAGAAGACAGCTCTACTGAACATATCTTATACATAGAAATTCCTAACATTCGAATTGGCTGTCTGCCAGATCGCTATTTTGCTATTTTCCTGGACACTGTAAATCTACCTTGGTTCCGTAATGCCAAGCCAGTCCTGACAAGTCATTCCTTTTTCTAAGGCCATATGTAAAAGTGAAACAGGTTTTATGATTTTATGTAAAGTAAAATAACATAAAAAATAAAAAAAAGTTTATTATTCAATTCGTTTGAATACTTATTATTCAACATACAATTAATTACTTATGACGGCTGTTCCAATTATGCCTAAATAACAACTAAATTCGTATATAAGCAATTACTCAATATAAGAAATTACAAATTATTTTTGTATTGCAATTATAATATATTGACATTAACAGAAATTAAATATAATAATCTCATAAATGAAAAGAAAATAAATGCCCAAAATCTATGAAAATTAGTAAAACATATATTTTTACGATTTTTGAGCCTGCTAAAAGTACAATGGTCCAGGTATAGTCGTGATATGGCCATATCCTAACACATTTTCCATATACAAAAAAATTTACTATTTTTTTTTTATATAAACGAAAAATTGTTATCGTAATAAAATATAGCAGGTCCTTGCAGTACGGGAACAAACCAATTATATAAAAAAGAAACAGGTCATACATTTTAATTTAATACTTATATACATATATCCACGATATTTTTATTTCAAAATAATAATATTTCACTATTTCATTTTTATAGATGCATCGCCTGGTTGCAAGGCACCAGATATACGTTTCACTGTCATAAAGCCGGAAACAACGACTCACCCACCATATGCCAAGTTCGAAACAACTCCTTCATATACGGTCGATGAATTCACAACATCTGATGTAGAGTTTGTCGAAAGGATTAATATTGACCTGACAGGACGTCATAACGGCAATCAAATGGGAGGCATTGTGAATCCCTATCAGGTCAATATGAATGATCACAATACAGCTGGAAATTTCCATGCCAGTGATATGGCGGCGGCTGACGAGGATGCGGGTGAAGATGAAGACTCCGATGGATCGACTCCGAATCCCCTACAAAACCGCAAGAATAATGCCAAAAAACGACGCACCGGCCAGGGTCGACGTAGACGTATTGAGAACGAAAATGGCCAAACTCGAGGTCGCGGTAGCCGATATAAGCGTCATTTGGTAGATTACGCGCTCAACAGTGTTCTAAATGTCGATAAACCCACTGGAAATATATCGAATGTCACAACGGATGTGTACTACATACGTTTTGAAAACAAAACAAAGAACCATGGCTTGAACGGAGAACTCAAGTACAAAATATATAGATTGAAGACAAAAAGCCGAAATTACACACACCACGAACCAAAAAACGATATCGGATCCCACCATCGACATCGCGGGGATGTTCAGAACGTAAGCAATAATGTCGTTTCGATGGATGACGACGTCAATAGTGGACCCGCAAAGCAGCACTTGCTGGTCGATTATAAGTTAAATGGAGAACCCGCACCACCATTGGAACAGACTAAAGAGGTCGATACATTTGCCCAAACGCACTCGAATGAGAGTGGAAATAGCGCTTTGCAACGTGTGAAGCGCAAATCAGGCAAAACAACCGGCGCTCTTAGTCGTCCCAAGGGTGGTGGCGATTCCAGTTCGAAAACGACAAGCCGCAAGGACAAAGGTAAACAAATATCGTAGACTATTTAACTAATTTCTGTGAATTTGCCTTATTATTCAGCATTCAATTGTGTGACGCATTGCTGATAATTGCCTCCACTTCCACTGTCATCCAACAATTGGATAAATATCTTGTATGTTCTCCTCCTACAAATAAATAAGTGAAGTCTTTTCAAATTATTCATTTTCATTTTTGATATATCTTTCAAATGAATCTGCATTCATATTTTACTAAGTAGTCCCATTTTCAGTACCGAACATTCCAATATGAATTAATATATTGTCGATATTATGCCCAATTTTCGTATACAGATAACAATAACATAATTCTGGATTCCGACTTTCAATCTAGTTTTCAGATTTTTCTGGGTTATTTCCAATAAATAGTCCTTAATAGTTTAGTTCTGTAGATTCGACAAATCCTTAAGTTCTGTCCAAATTTCAAATGTTCTTTGTCCATCAGCCATCCACAAACTGCTAAGTTAAAAATCGATTTACTTACTGATTTAAGGAATATTCTTCTGAGTTAAATTATTTTGTGGAATATGTATCTAACATTTTATTTGTGCACTTCATTGGATATTTAATATTTGTTTTTTTTTTTTGTCCCTTTTACAATAGGCATTTTTGATGAAGATGGAGGATATTCACCCGTTCATCCGGACGAAGGCGATTCCGACGAAGAAGATGAAGAGGAGGAAGAGATCGATATACAACAGCAATTTACCGAAGTATCGGAAATACGTTTCCCTGGAGAAATCGGACCACTCGGTGATAGGCGTTTGTGCAAAATCCGGTGTGTTAAGGGGAAATGGGTGGGTCCATTGTGCGCCACCAATGAGGAGGGTAAGTGAACGAACCGCAGAAATAAGGTCACACATATACCGCTAACACCAACACCATACGTACACGGATCATTCTGCTTTGCGCACATACCTACCTACATACATCTGCAGTATGTGTGTGCCCTCTGCACGGTGTACGCACTTTACATGCGAAAATTACACACTAACACCTTTCTAATTATATCTTAAAAAATGCAACATTATCAGATACAACTAGAGTATAACTATAATTATAATCACATTGTCACATTTTACGCAAATTACACCTAAATATAAGCATGACTCGTTTCGCTTGTCCTCACAATATGTTCGCTTTTCGAATACTTATCTATCTATCACGTACCTATGTTTCAATTGTAGCCATTGTATCTAATTGAAATACATACAAATATGTATAATTATTAATAATATGCAAGCGCACAAAACATAAACATACACGCCAATGTAATGATTGTAATTACTGGCAGGATCGTCTACATTACAACCTGAAGCCAACTAACAACTAACACATATTCGTACTCGCTAGAAAATTGTGAAGCACTATAAGATTATCTCTTGAATCCCATTACAACACCATCGATTGATGCGATGCACAAATAAGCGTCAGTTTGTAATGCAGCGGTCCTCAACATATTCAGGATCACTGATATTGATAATTGAATTATCTGTTCATTCGATAAATATGAATTATACAAACATATACATATATATTCACATGTTTTGAAAATAAAATGTCGTCAAACCGAAATATACTTGCACCATTTTTTACTTTACGGAGATGCCTGGCTCTCATTTAATTGTTGTTTCTCGTTTTATTTGTAAATCACTTGGCCGCCCTCGACCCCATTGACCGCCACTATTTAGACGAACACGGAAATGTGAAATTTCAGCCGTTGTATAAGTCATGTCACGTCCAAAGAATTCCACCCTACTTGTTGTTGAGTTACCGCAACATCTCTGTGGTAAGTTTGATCCAGAAATAATGAATAAAACAACCACGACCACCACCACCACCACCACCACCACATCAAATACAAATAAGAAATACATTTCGAGCACGCTACAACACATCCACATCAACATCAGTACACATGCCAATCGAAGTAGTTCGAATGTATCCAATAACCACAAACACTGTAGAAGCCGTCGATCACTGCATTTCTCTACGCACCAGAAGCTACCCAGCCAATTGGAAAGTTGACAAACTCTGTCTGTGGTTTGTGCAACGAAAACAATGAACTTCGGTCACAATCTGTCCATCTCTGACGTCATTACAATCATTTCATTGCGTTTCCTCTCTCAAAAGAACAGCTATCGTTCGTTTCCCTTGTACTGCATTTTGTCCTGATTTATAAAAGAAGAAAAAAAAAAGAATTCGAAAGAGAAGATTCTAAAAGTGTTTTATTTGTTTCTTTTTTGGTTCTTTTCTTTCTATTTTCGACTCTTTTGCAGACCCCCATCTACCGTTCTCGTCGTAATCGAACGTCTAAATCGAATTTTATTTCCAATACCCAAATTGTGAGTCAATTTAAAAGGCCATTTCAAACAGTTTATCATACGGAACTAGTCCATCTAGAAAACAATGAGACTTTCTTCGACACACAAACAATTCTACATAATTTGATTATTGAGTATTTTTCATACATACAGTCAGTCAGACAGTCTGACAATCATAAGCAATTCGGCACTGGTGCATTGGAAAAAAAATGTTACGCCTCGTTTCAGATAGCCTAGCCCCCTTTCGAGTAGTCCACAAAATAACATACACAGACGTACATACATCCGAGCAGGTTATCGAGTAAATACGTTATTTAATATATATATATATATATACATATTACATCCAACTACATAATTTTCCACATAGACCTTCATTCTTTTATACACTACAAACGAAACAAGAAGCCATAAAATTATATATGTATATACTTTTAATTTTGTTGGTGATTTCCTTTTTGTACATTTTTTTTTATACATGTCTTGATATAGATCCCAATGATCAACAACTGTGGCTCATTTGAACCCATCTGTATTTATCGCCGATGTGGCTCATTATTGACAAGTTATTATTTTTATTTCGTTTGGAGAGTAATCTCACTTATTTGTTGTTGTTGTAGCAGCCCTATTGCTTTTATACAATGGGCTGAGGTGACAGACGTTGGCCGAGAAAGACTCGGGTCGTTTCGGATCGTAGACCCCTCTGTCGTGGAAACGTCACTTATTTATAATCTGCAGTGGTGCTTAAACATTTATTTGATCATAATTTAGTAAATTTCGAATAGTAATTATCCAGTTTTATGGGATTATGGAAACAGGTTCAATACTAAATAAAAATATCTTTATATATATAGTTATGACGTATGAAATAGCTTAGTGGAGGGAGTTTGAATGGATTGAAGTCTTCAATTCGATGAGAACAAACATAGTAACTATAAAATTGTACAAATAAAAAATAAATGGGAATGGGATGCATCACGATATTGCAGCAGGCAAAACAATCCCCTACATATTTTCTGCCTTATTATCATTACAATAAATTCGAGTTTTTAACAATTAATTGAAGCTCATAAATGAAGATTGTTGATTTGTTTTCATAGTTTATTTAGCAAATATTAATAAGGTAATGAATACATTTTTAACCAAATTGTCTGCTTTATTGGCCAATATTGATAGAAAATGTTTATTTTTAAAACTCAAAAAAAAAAAAAAAGATCGTATACAATTAAAAAAGTCTTTTTTAAAGATTTTAGTTAAATAAAATAAAAATATTCAACTTTCCCATGACAAAATGTTTTGTACGGTCGTATTACCCAAATACATCGAATCTATATCTCTTATACCATAGACAGACGACAGCCTTAATTTGCATTAAAAAGTTCTTAATTTGAATTAAAATTTACCCCTGACAGACGAGAGTTTCTGCATTTATGAACCAGTTTTTTCTTTCAAAACTATTGTTTGTCTGTGTGTAGGAAGAAAATATTGACATTTCTTTACAATATTTTTTAGGATTACATCTTTTTGAAATTGATACATGGCAGGAAGGAAAACGAACAGCTATAATGAAGATAAAACAGCTCCAAATTTGAAGAAATGTTGAATTTTGCCTTTATTTCTAATTTTTATTTTCGTAAACGTAAACAAATTTGACAACAATCAATTTATTTTCTACAGCATTACCATATTGAAATTGCTTAATTCAGTATAAATTCAGTTTGATTTTGTGCATTAACAACACATAAAAATGAGGATAATGTACAAGTTAATTTGAATTAAGGCTATATCTCTGTCTTATTAGCAAACTAAACAAAATTAAAAAAAAAATGATAAAATGTGTTCAAATATTTTACATTCTTATTTAAAAATTTATATTTTCTTTTTGGTTTGTTTTTATTTTCAACAAAAGAAAAAAATCCATGTTCTGTCATTGTTGAACATTTTTTAACACATAACTGAAAAAAGCTTATGATTGCTTCCCAAAATCCAGTAGGGAAGGCCATGAAATATTTGTTTCATCCATAACAAAGTAATTACTTCTAGACGGACGCGTTAATAACATAATTTATTTAACATAGTATTGAAAACAATTCACACACATACACAAAATATGTATTTTGATTTGATGGAATAAGGCACCTTGAGAAACATTATACCATGGCGAAACAAACGAAACAAAATTATGAAAAATATTCAATTTTGAGCTTTTGACTAAATAAATCTTTTGAAACTTTTTTTTTGATTCTTTTGATACATTTCGCCATTCCCTTAGGACTTCGGTGTATAAATACGAGATCTTCTTTTAGTATAAACAATTTCCCACAAATGTTCAATGTGATTGAGAGTTGGGGATTGGGATCGCCTCTTTTAAACACATACATACCTCATTGGACGACCCTAGAGGTGTGTTTTGGGTCACAAGCATTGTATTATAAATGAAACGATTTGGACCAATTCCTCGGACATAACAACAAGCCCTCCCCATAAAATTGACTATCTCCCAACATGACTGCCTTGTATGTGTACTTTTCTTTTCGTCAATTTCCCTTGCGTTCCTTATAAATAATCATACACCGCTGTTGGTAGAAATTTCGTTGCAGGGGCTCTGAAACATTGTTAGGCTGACATGCTAATATGCATTGTTTCGAATTCACCTGCCACTGACTGTATGTATGTACAAAGTTTGTACATATTACCGTTTTTTTATTCGCATTGACAACCAAGTAGTGATGACTTTTTTGTGATTTGCTTTAAGTGAAGTACCAGCAATAAGTAGAGAGCTGATAGTAGCTAACATTTTCAAAGATATCATTACTTGTCACCATCCCATCACTCGCCTACCAGTCACCGCTCCTCCTGTCACTCGAAGTTCTAGTAGATTTGGCATTGTTGCTGAAATTCAGGAATTTCAGTGTACCAAAAGTAGCAGCAACAAGGCCAAGAAGAACACTGTTTACGAAAGATTGCAATATGGCACACTTTGTCACAGATCACGTTACTCTCACCTAAAAATAACTTTTGACCCACTACACACACCAAGCCACAAAAGTTTGTCCTCCTATCTTTCGTCTCTCAGCTGCTTATATTCACCGAGTTGTATTTTTCTATGGTTTCTCTATCTTGCTCTTTTTCGATAACATCCTCGGCTGCATTTTCTCTCTCTCTCTCATTTTGTTAATGACTAATCGATATGAACTTTATGCACACACAAACACACTCATATATATGTATGTACGTGTCTACCTACATATACATACATATATGTATCTGCTATATACACGCATGTGTTGTATGAATATGTGTAAATACTGATGTCATGTGTACGAATCCTTTCAAATCAATCAATCAATCAACTACTGCACTGTCTGTAATCGGCTGGCGGTGGTGGCGATTAACAAAGAATGTCGGCTGGGACCTGCCGCATGGCCATTCCCTGCAAGCACGTTGCAAAGACTTAGGTATGTACAAGCTGCTGGGCGAATCGAGGGTGCTATGTTCGAATGGCTTGTGGGCTCCGCGTATGCCGTCGTGTGTACCCACAACCCTATTGACTAACTTTTCGGACGACAGTGCTCCGTCCATTAAGTACAAGATCTTAAACGGATCGGGATCTTTTGAACCGTCTGGAGTTTTGGCAGTGTTGCCACATAGCACTATTTTGTTGGACTGCATGTATCCGAGAGTGCGCGGTATACCCGAATGGACATGGACTAGTTGGTATATGAAATATTCCACCGGTAAGTACGCTAAAATATAGCAGCAGCATATAGGCGAATTATGTGATGTTCTTTGCAGGTTGGACCCATGAGGATAAAAATCTACGGTATCGGCTAAGCATTAAAGACATCGAAAGCAGGGACTCTGGGACATTTACTTGCACGTCGCCCAGAGGCCTCACGAACAGTATTAGCATCGCTGTAGCACAATCCACTTGCCCGCAGCTTCCAGAACCGGCGCCACCGCTCACCTTACGCTTAGAAGGCAACAAGCTAGGCCAGAGGGCTATGTACCGCTGCCCGCCTGGCTTTAGAGTGGATGGCATTGTAAATGCAACTTGTTTAGCTTCCGGCAATTGGTCATCGCCGCCACCAACATGTCAAGCTGTACAATGTCCACGTTTGATTTTAGATGACCCACACCTAAGTTTGGTTGAGTTGAATACATCTGCATGGGGGCGGGCGGTGTTCAAATGCCAGTGGGGTTTCAAATTGACCGGTCCACCGGGTTTGGAATGTGATCCGTCGGGCGTGTGGAGTGGCGCAGTACCCAGATGTAAAGGTATGCCAAACATCAATGCCTTTTAATGTGATTTTAATTTAAAGATCTAACAGCAGCCACATGAAAACGCTGGGACCTATAGCCTGCCGTGGCAATGTACTCCATAGATGTTGAGTATATTTTTGTGGCAAGCTGAAAGGTATATTTTTTATTTCGCTATTTCGAACAAATTGCTACATTAAAAACATGTAAGAAGTCAGTCCCTGCTGATATGGCGCATTTATACTGAATTAGTGCAAAGGTTAAGTAATATGGTCAGGTAGGCGTATACTAAATATTTTATTACGTATACCCACCGATGTCTAGCCAGACCGTTTTTAACGATGTTTTTAGTTGAGTAAATCATTTGCACAACTTTAGCCTCCAACTCTCTAAATTTTTCTTTCCGAACAACATTACGAAGGCATTGTGAAGTTGTGAAGATTTGTAACATCAAAATTTATGGAAAAATAGTAAGCAGAGCAGTATAGTCGCAAGGGGCTCACCATTTGATACCCTACCACTGAACTCTAACATTCTGCAGATTTATATTTGGAGCCTAAACAATATTTCGCGATGTTGGTCGCCCTTGAAAATAGTAAGCAGAGCAGTATAGTCGCAAGGGGCTCACCATTTGATACCCTACCACTGAACTCTAACATTCTGCAGATTTATATTTGGAGCCTAAACAATATTTCGCGATGTTGGTCGCTCTTGAACCTGCCATCTTTTCCAAATCATATCTTCCATAAGACTTATTTTTGTTTATTTTACACAAAAACATCTTCATTTGACATACATATATTCTAATTAGTTGGCCAGATCGCACACACACAAAAATAAAGTTGTTGGTCCATTTCTTCCCCTAAATATTACAGGACCGGGAATATAATTTCATGCCAAATTTCGTGACTATTGATCCACAACTGTGGCTGTGTTTTAGAAACTGTGTACTGTATTTTAGAGATTATAATGTATAGGTACTAGATCAACCCAGCTAGCCGAGATGCGATGATCGGTATACTAAAACGTAGAACTAATATTTCGCGGCGTTAAACAGCCATAACATTGCTTTCGCTCAAGCTATTCCGAGTTATGAATACTAAAAATTAACAAATTTAAAATGTAGACAGATTAACGAAGTCTTGCTTCTCAGATAACGTCTAAAAATGTTTACTTAGTTAGCTGACTCGAGACAGAACATTTGTTCCACAAGCCGAACTTAAAAAAGATTTCCAGGTCGTCGATCACGGCTTTTTTTGAAAAACCATTCTTTGATATGTCAACCTCCACTTTATCTTTCTATCGAATTCGTGGCCTTCCCCTTCTGCGTGAACCATCAGTAGGCTCGTTTTTATATGGGTTGGTTTTGTCTGGCGATATGTGTCCTTGTTTCTAAGTTGGTAACCTAGACCATTGTAGCATCTGTTGGTTTTTATTATGGTGGTATCGAGATATATAAAAATGTTTGGCTGTTTGTATTAATTCTTGTGGTCTTTAGTATATTTCTGAACATCGGTATTGGAGTTGTAGCAAATTCAACGAGAATAAATATCACTTCCGGATTGCAGTTTTAGGCAACTTATTTAATAGATTTCATTATTATTTACGAATTAACCACGATTTATGATTTCTCTTGCAGCCATACAGTGCCCTACACCTGTGGCTCCACTAAATGGACGCATCGGGGGTACGAATATGAATCAACGGCGACTCACCGTTGGAGCGTTAATAACTTTCAGTTGCAATGAAGGCCACACCCTGGTCGGAGAGCCGAGCATTATTTGCACAGAGAGTGGTCTGTGGTCGCATCCACCGCCCTTTTGTAAGTAAATGAAATAAAAACTACAACCACTTCCCTAGATGCATATGTGTATGTAAGTACGCCACAGCAACATGCACATTTGTATGGACATAAGAATAAGACGATGTGTGGACTACTACTGCAATTGGCAAAAGCAACACCGGGCACCTACACAAAATTTAGAACATTTCATGGACTTGAGAAGCAAGAGTTGTCAATATTCAAGTTAGGCGGTCGTAGGCACTGCACCGAACGTTAAAATTGCGTCTTCCCGTCCAATTATGTGTACATATGAATGTATAGGGTTGCGTACACAAATGCTACATACAAAATACTAACAAGATAAATTGTGCCAAATCGCGAAAATTCGCGAACACGTCTTACCCGCTGACCAACATGCACTTAACAATTAAGCTTAATCCTCGATCTTTGAATAAATAACGCTTTGGCCAGGTTCAAGTCATATTCTCACATCGTCGGTGTTGTAGGCAAATTCACTTCGTTAGGTAGGCCATGCATGCTTCTTAGAATTTGATATTCGATTCTTAAAACGTCATGCGGAAGACAACATCGAAAGCTGCAAAACTACAAACAGTCGCAAAGCTTTTCGATGGTGTTGGGTTTTGCAATTTTGTATATTCGGATCGATAAGTGTACCCAATGAACAAACAACCGAACACTTAAGCAGCATAGCCATTGCATTGTAACGAAGAGATGCAAGCGGCTAATTTTAGTGGCCAATTGCCGTAGTGCTTCCTTATATAGATATGTATTATCTACATACAAATATAAATATATATATATATTTCGTTATCTTTACGTCAATTGCTATCTAAATATATATGATACATTTAGAATATCAATAAAAGAAATATTAAAAAAAAAAAAAAAAAACATAACAGAGAATAATAGCACACCCACATAGATGTTACACTAAATGCTGTGTTTGTTAAATTATATTTAGTTGTTGTTTTAATTAAACGAATCTTTGAAACTAATACATTGTTTGTTGTTTTTTGTCAAGGACATTTGTATATATATATATATATATATATATGTGCGTCACGATAGGACCAGAATTGATTTCACATATACCGAGGCAAAATAATTTTTCACCCCTATTCCGTATGTCGTCGTCAACACAAAACGATGTCGTAAAGAGTCGTCTTTTGCAAATTGGAACTCCCGATGTCGTTTTCGACATTTATCGATAAGTATTGACACATTTTTGGTAATCCGTCGCAAAGTTTGACGACGACGATGTCGAAATTTCTTCGTCATTATTTTAGTTGACGACTGAAGAGTTTGAAGAAATTTCTTGATTCAATACGTTATGCAAAACATATATGATCTATATAAATCTGAACCGATCTATATGCCAAATAAAGTTTCGTCCTATAAAGGTACAATAAACACAAGACATAATGCCCTGTGCCACAGTGCGATATTTTGCACAAAAATATCAAACAAATCCGCAAATTACAATATTAGGGATGTGTGTGTGTTTTTTTTTTTGACATTGTCTTATAAGTGTTACAGAATATGAAATCAATGTCGAAGTGATGTCGACAAAGAAAAGTCGTTGACAACGACGACGGCATACGGTATAGGGGTGATTGTTTTTTTCTTACGAGCAGCATCAGGCATGAGCTTTAGACATAATTATTAAAAATATAATCGCTAGACAGAGTTAACATTCCGAATAAACGATGGCTGGTTACTAGAGGTGGTAAGTATTTGGCTCAAATCCTAAGCCATTGTGGATCTTCCTAGAACGTAACTCATTGTCTTAATACAATTCAAGCACAAATATTGGTTCAACTGCCTCATACGGGAATGGTTAATTTTAAATCCATGGATTTATCAAGATGACATACAATTATACACTTCGTTCACATTAGATGGATCTGGAGGGCGTGTGCTTAATCATTTTGTTTTGAAATTATCAACTACTACTACAGTTGTAGTCAATATTAGCATAGGTGCCCAAAATTAAAATGCGTTAGTATGTGTGAGAGAAAACAGAACAATACTGAACAAAATTGTGTGTACATTTTTGTGGTCGGAAAAAATTATTGATGAATTTAATTTTTGTTATTATATAAAATAAAAGCATTATTAAAAATGTTTTTATATGAATTACAAAGTGTATATGTCATAAAAATCTAATAAAGTTTATAAAGTAGCATATACCGAGATAATAATCATATTATAATATTAAATACTACGTTAATTATCAAATATTTAATTCTTAAAAAAAAAAGAAATTGTTCTGTTGTTTTTAAAATTTTTTAAACATACAAAACGCATTTTGAATAATAAAATAAAAATCCAAATATACTGAAACACTTTTATCCCTAAGTGTTATTTCGTTGATTTTCTAGTTCTGCGGACACGACGTCGTGCGCGCACCCCAGCATGTGTTCATTCGTTGCCTGTCAAACAACGACTGACTGAAAGGGCATAACAATGCGTGTGAGTAGGCAGCTACTTTAAAGTATACTGATGGGCACCTATGATATTAGTTAACACACAAAGGTCTATTTATTTGAATTAAAACAATTTGGAATTCCCAATGATAGTCTTTAAAACTTAGCTGAGGGGGAAGAAACTATAGAAGAGAGTTGCTCATGTGTTAGTGAGGAATGAACGCGGGAAGTCTATTGACCTAAATTCTTAATAATTTATTTTAATTCAAGTTTTTACTTTTTTCTACAAATATTAGGTCTGCCTGAGTACTCGATACTTTGTAACAATTTATTCAAAATATTATTAAATGCAGTCTATTTCCTTTGAGGTTCAGTAGAAGAGTATGACTTTATTTATAAGGTTAACCGGTAAAGCCAGCTGAAGTCTTCGTTGGTTGTCAATATTTATTGCCTGAAGAATAAATATATTCAAAATGAAAGAAAACAACTAACTAACAATTAACAAAATAATTTGTTGGTGTATTTATCCCGTTCTGAAGCCATCAGAAGATGTTATTTTTTTCTTATGGGTAGTGAAACAAGGTTATTCGTTCTCAGAATTTCATATCTCAAGTAACCCGCTCATATCGCATTATTCTAAATTCATGCCAACATTGTTTATTTTCAAATTAAATCGCGAGATTCGCCTCTTGATCATACGTGTTTTTAATTTTTACTCACGCCTAAAAATTTTGATTATTTTTATCTCCTATTTGTTTCTTGTTTTACACGCCGTACTTCGGCCTGAGATGTTGACATCTACGCTTAATTTGAGGGACTGGCTATTTATAGCACAAAACTTTTCTATTAACAAGAATAGTTTTTGGAGCCATTTTTTTCGAAAAAAGTTTTTTGTTTAATTAACAATAAAAAACTTTTCTAGTTGCCAATGTCTACATGTGTTAATTTGTTTAAATTGCGTCAAAAACTAAATGTAACCATGACAATTTAATTTCTATAACAGCAATAGATTCGTTCGGTTTACTCTATATGTGCAAATTATTACAAAATGTTGATCGTTTACCCCAGTGTTGCTCAGCCCTTTACGTTTTCGTGATAACAAATCACACGTATTATCTTGTCAATTTAGATCTGCCGTTTGTTTAGCATAGGCGGGAGAGTAACATACAAATTCCAATGCAAGTAATATGAGCATCACTGGTTTACTCAAAAGTGCAGTAAAAGAGAGTGAATTGAGACATCAGATTTGACAGTTGTGTTACTGAGTATTTGCAAATTCTTACAAGGAAAAATTTACTCAGTAAGAATTTTCAGCTGATATTTAATCAGCTGTGAACTAAATAACATTGAAAATTCAAATATTTTATCGGTAATGTTAATATATGCAAATGTATACATTGCCACCAATTTATTAACATTCCTAAATGATTTTAAACTTTTACGCAATTTTTATTATTTTATGAAAGGAAATAATATTTTTATTTATGAAAGGAAATAAACTTAAATTAAACGACTTAAATTCAAAAATTTTAAAGTATGTGTTGAGTCACGGATGCAAATTAAATACACCCCCAGCACCTATACAAAATTCTACCTTTGATTTTGACTACGGCAGTTGACATGTTCTTATCATTTCTGATTCAACATAGGTAAATCAGGTTGCCCATACCCCGGAGATCCTCCTAATGGCTTCTTGGCACCACTGAAATTTAATTACGAATCCGGCGACTATATAAGCGTTCAATGTCGACCGGGTTATGTTCAATATAGCGAGATTGGTGGTCCACCCGAACGTCCTAAATGTCTGCCCAACGGCAATTGGTCAACTCCTGTGCCAAAATGTCGTAGTTACGAAGATGTGTAGCCAATTCGTGGAGACGATGTTCATCTGTTGAAAATACTTTAAAGAATTACTCAAAATATTGTAGCATAACATACCAATTTCTTTGTAAAGTAATAATTTTATCTAATATAAAAAAAACAATTGTATCACACACACACAAACTCTGACATCTACAATATAGTAACGCAAACAAGCAACTGGGAAGTAACATATTAATGATTTTAACAAACTAAAATAGACTGTAAAACTCATTTCTGCCTATTGTGACTGTATATCAGATGTTTATTTGAATATTTCCAGTACTCGGCTATGTCAAAATGTACTGGCTAACGGAGTGATATGAATAGGGCTGTATGTAGCTTCAAAGGGCGGTGACTAATAGCGGAAAGTAATTTTGTCCCATTTGTAATTTAATGTCGTTTCTAAGCCAAGCTATTTATTGTGATAGACTCCAAAAGTATCCGCGTTCTTCAGTATTAAAATAATTGTCATTCAAACAAGATTCATTGCATATCTTAATAATGTAATGTCTGTAATTGACATCACTCCAAATTAGTTTCAATGTTGTAAAATTATTTTGTTTCCATTAGTTGAATGTGTTATTTGTTCAAATTCCTTGTAAGTAAATTATAAGTAAACATGTAGCAATATAAATAAAAACTACATTTTGTTAAAAAAAAAAAATACAAGTACAGTTATTTTGCTTATAGTAGGTTATACCTGTCGCACTTTGTGTGGTAAGTGTTTTAAGCAGTTGCTGTAGCAGTTGCGACAAAACAAAATCGAAGAATATATAAATTAAGTGCATATACGAACATTGGAACATAATTGACATCTGCATCCAAAATATTTGGTTCTGCTTTTTCATCGTTTTAGGGTTTGTCTATGTCTTGACGCCTGGAACGCCGCAAATTATTGCAAATATCTTCGATTTATTGAGAGAAATTTTGATTCTATTAGAAACATTGGTTTTCTATGATTGACATTCGCCTATGTGAGTTTAGGCTAATAATTATGTTTTAAAACCTATAGCTAAGAACATTTCTGCAGATTTCAATTGAACAGTTTTGTCAAACTAATTAATCATGGCACAGTATGTTGTATTCATAGTAATATTTTTGGTATCATTTTAAGGGACTATGTCATCAAATGTGAGAGAAAGAACTTTTTAAGCAATAGTTACCGAAATACCGGGTAATTCAAAATAACACAATGTTGGGATGACAGACTCTATGCAAAACTGCAGGAAATTCAACTCAACAACCATATATAAATGTGTGGTTGTATGTAACGTGACCTTAACCTTACAGACCAATAGTTTTTAAAAATTAACATCAAGGCTAGACTTGCGTAAAACATAAATGTCTTTGTACGAATATTTTAAAAATTATAAAATAGCGATTTTAAAGTCTTACATACAATTCTACAATAAACAAATTGAACTCAAAATTAAATATTTACTTTAGTTGCCTGAAACCCGTAGTATCTCCTACCTCTATTACATGTAAATTTACGCGGTCAATGTTAAGATTGATAAAATGATAAAACTCATCTCTTTTATGGAACGCATTTTTTTTATCGATATCTCAAGTCAATACCGTTTCCTTCAAACATTGACATTAACGATGTTTAATAGTCAAGACAAATAAATATTACAGAAATTGGCTTGCGGTTTACGACACTTTAAGGTAACAATTGATGTGATAAATATTCAACTTATGCTAATCAAATCGAAACAAGTATATTTAAAATTGTATTTATTCTCGTTTATTTAGAGGCATTAAAAGGTAAATAAATGTGAATATAACATTATGTATATTATATTTTTGTAGTTTGTTTTTTTTTTCTCATTTTAATCACAGCAGTCTTTATGTAATTTACGCCTTATATAGCTACACTTACTCTTAGGGAATTTTACTAAAATGAAATCAAATGAATGATGGATTTTGTGGAAGAATGCGGAATATATTCCGCAAATAAGATTCTGTAACAAATTTAAAACTAAAATATTAAAATATAATAATAAGGAATACTGCTTAATAGCAAGATATTACATAAATGATATAACATATACGTAGAATGTACATAAACGTGCTGGCGTAACTTCAAGCCTGACCATATATAAACGTCTTTGACTTGTAGTTTGTATGGAATGTTACATTTAACGACTAAAATAAAATTGCTTTCGGCCAATGTAGGTATATAAAGTTGTGCATCATTGTACAATGTAACAATAATTAACAGTACTTGTGGATTGAAAATTCCTAACTGGGCTAAATATATGTCTCATCGGACGTTCATACACACAGATATTAAAACTCTAACTTTGTGGTGAATCTTAATGTAGACCTTAATTTTAGAAAAACTTAACGCAAGACTACGACTATATTACAAGGTATACAAAGAACAATTGACATTGAGGAAAAAATGTTTAAAACATTAAATAGAAATAGAACTGCAGCACATGCTACTACCACGAGAATGGTGAGGATTTTCGGAATCTTGCATTGCGCTTCCATGATTCATGGTGATTCAGTTGTACTAATAATAGGTCATAGTTTTATGATAGACAAGATTTGCATTAATGATTTATTTGTTTTACTTAGCACTATACTGTTGGACGCAGGTGCGTCAATTCCCCACCAGCATGCTTCAACACTTGTCACAGTTTGAGTGACTATTGGAACTTTTTTAAAATTGAACAGAACAACAGAGAAATGAGCTATCGTGTCCATTCATATATACTCGTTGAGGGTCGGGAGGTCTTTATACATGGGACTTATAAGATTGTGTATGGCAAATGTATTTAATTTACGCAGTATTCTTAATATCTATTCGTTCTTACCCTTTTCAGGGAGTATTTACATATTCGGCAATATTAGATAGAGGGCATGGAATTCTGAACAATTTGAATGTGAACATTTGCCAATGATAATTAATTTTTTAGATCTAACCAGCTACTTGCTGTATATTTAGCTGATTTATTAATTGTTGGCACAGTTTGCCGTACTCAAATTGATCGCCAGAAATTCGTCTCAGTTTAATGCCCTTGCCTGAGCTTTGACTGTCACGGCTTCGCCCTTCACACACTTGTACTTCGATTTGTAATCCTCCGGAGTACTCTAGACTTAGATTGGTTGTGATGTAGGAGGGTGTTAGGTCCATTGAATATGTGTTGGACGCATCTGGTGGACCTCCGGTACTGGGCCTGTACTGTGTCCAACTTGATGAACCGGAGGCGATTGATGATGGCGTTTCAATTGTATGTAGAGTGAAACCTTTAGGAGGCATAGTTGAATCTATCGTTTGTTTAATGATTTCGAGTATTCGGGCTGTGTCCAAATTGGAACATTCGTAGGGCAAAGGAACTTCGTAGCACATATCTTCAGACATGCGACGTGATTCACACATAGAATCTGGGGTTAAATGTCCCTCGGTATGATCTCCTACTTCGGAGTGCGAATCTGACTTGAATCCCGAAGATGCGGATGGTTCTTGGCTGGGCGATACATTATTGGAATCATTGCTTAAGGAGTCATCCGAAAAGCCCAGAGATTTGTCGCTGCCTCTTCTGTCCTCAGAAGATGGAGCTGGTACATTTTGCTCTGTCTCAAGGTTTATTTGTTTACCCAAGATCCCACGAGTTACCGTTGGCATGTCATTTGATGTTTCGGTTATCATTAAATCCTGAAGCGACATTAGTGATATGACGTGGTGTTCAGACGAATCGGAGCTGCTCTCATTGTTGAATTGTGATGATTGTGCCACTAATGTTATTTCGCTGCCCTGTACATCAGTCAGACAAATCTGAGGATGCGAAGGCTGTTGCCCGGGTGATAATACGCCTTCTCCGGACGACAACGTACCAGACGATGGAGTGGGCGTTACACCACCAGTACATCCCGTGTATGGTGTCCCAGTTGTGATTGTGTGACTCATTTGAGTTGTGGCATTTTCTTCTTGTATTATGCATAAGTTTGGTGACGTGGGGGGTGTTGTTACCACTCTTATAGGTTGTGCAGGCGATAAATTCAATGGCTTCATTTCGTAGTAAGAAGACGGTGGGAGAAACCAGTTCTGCGTCACATATGAACCCACCGGTGTTTGTGAATCGTCAGACGCGGCGACGTCCATAGATAAATCCAAAGGTTGCATAGCAGCTGAAGCTATTTCGCTTGCTGCCGACGTTCCTCTTGTTATGGAACCGCCTCCTCCGGTTGTTAAATACGAAATTCCCTTCGTGATTTGATGCAAAGGAGATGATGCACCTCCTATCGACGTCACACTGCTTCCGCTGGCTAGAACTGAACCTGGTACCCCTGCGTTTGCAATTGCAGGCCCGCTATAATTTCCGCTACTTTTTGCAGCTGTTGGAAACGGCTGCGTATAACAGGATCCCAATATTGTGTTTGTATGCAAGCCTCCAGCTAAATTCATCTGATTACCCATAACATTAGGCTGCATTATTGGACCACTGGTTGTTACACAACGCCCACTTTCGCCCCAAACACTGCTCGTTTGTTCGCCGCCACTTTTTGAAATAGACATAGACAATGGTGATGTACTGAAACTATGCGCTTGCTGTAGCTGTATATGTGCCCCCAAACCTTCTGAAGTACTGTGTCCATGTGCTGCTAAACCCAGAAGATGAGCCATATCCAAAGGGACTTGTCTAGTGGATACAATAGTATTTGCAAGATCCATGCTAATTCTTTGCTCTTTAACTAACTGGTCTAATAACGGCACGACGGTTTTAAGAGCCTCAGGCGGTATTTCGATGTCTGGTGAGGCCAATGAAGACGGTGTGCCAGTACGACGAAAAGCATTATGGAATCCAGAAGTTTTTCCATGTATCGGAGACCCTTAATAAAATAAAAAAGGAAATCAGACATTCCCCTACGTATTTAGTATTTTTCAGATAAATAAAAATTATTAATTTCCAAGCAATGCAATCTAATTATTGTATAACCACATAATTGAATATGTAGTATCCTTGTATTATCAAGATATACATTTTCCGGGCCGTTAAGTATTTTGAGAAAAATACATTCAAGATTTAAGATCTTTATAATTAAAAGTGCCGGTTTCACGAAAATTATGTGCAATTTTTTATGTATCCAAAAGACATTTTGGAAACCGAACATAGCGCTAACGGACGGGTTAAAATGATATAATTATCAACCTACCTGGCAAACTAATGGAGTTTTCCAAAAGTGGTTGACTTGGAGCAACCAAAAAATTGCGCTGTGCGATTCCTTTTTGTAGATATTGACATTCCTGGAGGGGACCCTGGAATTGTGTCTTCGATCCCTCTGAAGCACGGCGTACAGGACTGTAACGACCTATAAACAAACCATTTGAATATCTGAATATTAGTACGTTGTTTTAAATGAACAAAGAAAAATAAAATAAACCGAAAATACATCAATGTGTTAACTTAATATTAAAAATAAAAACGGATGTAATTCCAAAGTAAAAGCACTTGCAATTTATGTCACTTTTTGTTATAATATCATTCTATTACAAAATATATTCTATTTAAATTTAAATTAATAAATAGACCTAGAAAGCCTATGATAAATAATAAATTTGAAGTTTTATTCTTCACTATTTGTATACATATATCCTTGGTATATAGGCTTGTGGTCTCAATTGGATCTTCAATTATATATAACATATAATGTAAAACATTTTTTATTGATCACCATACGTGTGTATATTATAGAGCTGAGGGTCTTCAACAAAAATAACTCTCAATTTACTTTCTAAAATTTTTTGGTGTATACCAGCACTGTGCTGTAATGTTGAGTGTCATACAAATACCGAAATATATTTTAGTAGTACAAAAGATAAGCCCAAACTATTAACGAATTTCTGAAAGATTCTATTAGATACGGCAATGGAACGATTGATTATACAAATACCGAAATATATTTTAGTAGTACAAAAGATAAGCCCAAACTATTAACGAATTTCTGAAAGATTCTATTTGATACGGCAATGGAACGATTGATTATATTCAAATTATGCTAAAACCAAGACAAACCAACAAGTGTAGTTTTTACTACCACCCATAGCAATGTGTATAATAAAACTTACCAACTTCTTGGACGGGTGGCAATTTACCAGATTTGTTATAAAAACGTCTATTGTTATAGACTATATTCGCTGAGCTTGCAGCTGTTGTAGGACTTAATGACATTGATGTAGTACTTCCTAGGACTGAAGTGCTTACGACGGGATAATTACAATTGTTAGTCGAACTATTGTAGGAAGAACTCACACCGGAAGGCGGCGATAGACTAAATCCACCGGAATAATTGCTTTGCATTTTTAAAGCTGGTGGTAAGTAATTACGATTCATGCGAGATTCAACCTCTCGAATGAGCTCCGGACTTATAACTTGTTTATATAATTCATTTTATGAATAATCAAGCAATGTGACGAACAAATCGTCAACATTGTTGTGTATGAAGCCAAGCGTCATCAAATAATTAGAAAACATAAAATAAGAAACAAAACAAAAATAAACAACAAAAATTAAAATTTGAAAACAAAAACATAAAAATGCGAAAAATTAAAATGGTTTATGGGAATCATGCGTATGCGGCTGCAGATAGGTCTGAATGAAAAAAAAACACCTCAATTTACCTGGCGGTCTCTCTGTCACAGTTAGTAGACCGGTACGACGTGTACGTATACCGGTGCTAACACCACCAGAAGTTTGCATACCCACTGGAGTTTGAAGCTTAGGGTTAATACTACATTGTTCCCCGTGGTGGTTTAGTGATAAATCTTCTGTACAACCGACAGTGTGTCGTTTGCCCCGCATTTGCATATACCTACAAATATTCTACGTTAGCACTGGTATTTAGTATAACGACATTACTATCACCTTTGAATCTCTTCCGGCTTTTCATCCTGATTAATACTCGGATTGTCCGCAGGAACTCGGTTATTTACACTGGCAGTAGAAATATGGTCGCTATTGGGCCCTTTTGTTGGATGCATAAAATACGTCTCGGCTTGTTCTGGCGGCCCATCAACAGTTGATGACTGATGGCCGGTAGTGAAACAATATGGCAAATTAGCTCCACCATCTGAAGCTCGACGGTTGAAGGACCCAGCTTTTGTAAAAAAAATAAAAATATATGTTATTTAATACCTATGGAGGAATTGCTCAATTGCCTTAACGCCACTTACTTGCTCCCATTACCAGTGGTGGTTTCAACAGATGTTGATCCTTTGTAGTCAAGTAGTGTAGAGGTTGGTTCTGCAAGGTCGGCAAATTGAGTGGTGGATAAGGATACATTTGTTGCTGATTTTTCGAAGGTTCGTATTTAAAGTTCAACGCTATGACGTTTGGATCCTGTAAGGCATGTTCATGAGCAACATCGCCAGGTCCCACAGTATGTCGCCTTGTGTTTCCATTGCCTTGACTTGTAGATGATGATGTAGATAGTTGACTTTGATTTATATTCTAAAATAACACAATAAAATAGAGTTACATAAACATATAGCGCACAAGTGGTTGAAAGAATTTCATACCTCATTTGGTCCTTGCATTCGTTCCAACTCAATGTCACTGCTAAACTTCTCTAATTCGACATTCAGATCTGTCCATGGGCATATGGATTCCGGTTGGGCTACATTCGTATTCACTAGAGGGCTTAAGCGATCCATTGCATCTTGCTGCAGGGGTTCAGACCGATCTACCATTCCAGTCGTTATACTGGTCCGGGACCTGTGTGTTTAAACAATTCTTGGTGAAAGAAATATAAGCGATCGCAATTGACTTACCTGGCTCTATTTGCGTGCTGCTGCAATTTCTGATGCTCTCGGCGTCTCTGTTGCAATTTGTCGTATAGCAAGTAGTAGATGGCATATATATTATCGAAACGGTTCTCGTGAACGGATTGCGCAATTTTATCGGCTGTTAATCCTGACAGCTGCAGCATATGAGATACCACAACTGTGTCCAAATTAGGAACAGATGTAGTTTGGCCGATAGCCGAAACTTCCGAACTCATATGGGGAACATGTGTCTGCGAACAATCCCGTTCGACTTCGGCCATCCATTCACTAACCCACCGGTGCTTCATAACTTGTTTAATGGTGTAGCGCTTTTCCGGTTCCACCACCAACATGTTGCGAATGAGGTTTTCACAATCTGTTACCATTCACAACCAACACGAATTTGAGTAAAAAATAAAAATAAATATATGTATATCAGTTTTACTCACCCTGAGACATGAAATACGGAATGCGAAATTTCCCAGTCACCACTCGGCTCTTCAGTTCCAAAAGTGTTTTTCCGTCAAATGGCAGAGCACCGCACACCATTGCATATAGTACAACTCCCAAACTCCAAATATCTGCTTTGGGGCCGTCATATTCTAACCCCTGAAAAACTTCCGGTGCTGCATACGGTGGGGATCCACACCATGTTGTGAGAGGGCTACCGTCTTCGTAGTGGTTGCTAAATCCAAAGTCAGCCAGCTTAATGTTCATATCTTTGTCCAACAGTACATTTTCGGCCTTAAGATCACGATGAACTACTCCTTTACGATGGCAGTACTGTACTGCCGAGACTAACTGCGAAAACACCCTTGCAGCTTCGGGTTCCTTCATTCGTCCATTATCCACCAGATGGTCAAATATTTCTCCGTTGGCCGCGTACTCTGTTACTAGATATATCATAGTTTCAGACTGCATTACTTCGTATAGACGCGTAATATGTTGGTGTCTAAGTGTTTTCAAAATGGATATTTCTCGATAAGTTTTAGCCAGGTACTCTTCATTGAGACAAGTTTTGTCAATAATTTTTATAGCGACCTGCAAAATTTTAAGGAAAATAGAAATTATTTTTTAAGCGTCAGAACATCTCGTTCAAAACATCGTCGTTCAAAAAACTCCCTGTGACCACGATGTAAATTCAAACATGTGTTTAAAACCATTCTATTCGTCTTTATATAATTTAATATAATTTGAAACCTACTATGAGTTAGAATACATGTATTTATATGAATGTAACCGAAATACGTCGAACGTACAAAATTTCAAGTTGAACAATTTCAACTTTGACAGAAAGTATTTTTAATTTTTTTTCTTTTGTTGAAAACAAAAACAAAACATTCTGGAAATTTGAAATTTCGAATGGAAACCATGGTACAATTATAAAAGTTAACAGCAAATCCCAGCTGATTTGATTCCAACGTAATACTAGTGTCAATATGAATTTGACAAATTATGTTTTTAAAAATCACCCAACAGGAAAATTGGGAACGCATACAATTTGAAATTGTTCTTTATTAAATGTGCTCCCGTATTCAATTTACTCAATCTGCCTGCTGGGAAAGTTTGAGGAAGCAAATCTTTCTTCAAGGAATAGCTCGCTATTCCCAGCATATTCATATGTGTTACACATATATATGACAATGGCTCAATTATAGGAAAGATGTGGAAGCGATAGAAATATAAATTTGATAGATTTTCATTCATGTTTTTCAATTTTTATTTTGAGGATTCGAAAATATTTCATTTTCAAAATAAGCATAATTTGATGATAATTTGTTTGTTTGTTTACATTTTTCTGTCAAATGAGTTGACACTAATAGAACTTACAACAACAAATTTCCATGTGGTTGTTGTGTCGTTTTTTGTACAACAATACTTGCTGTTACCTTCTATTATTATACCATGAATGGAAACTAAAAATATGTGGATTAATTTAATAAATTTTCAATTTTGTTTTGCGGTTTGTATTATTTTCTTGAAGATATGGATTCGAAGTATTTGGGTAATACGGCCGTACACAACATTTTGCCATAGTGGGGAAGTTGAATATTTTTGTACGCCCCGTCGGATTTTAGGTAACGTTGTTATACACAAATCTTAAATGTCAATATTTATAGATAATAATTACATATCGTCAGCTAAAATGCAAAAAGGCGTAACTAACGAAAAATTGAAAATTGTCTTTTTGAATGAATAAACTACATGTGTTGACAAAGTTTTACACGTCTGCGGTCAAAAAGGGAGCTTCTATTAACAAAAAAAAAAAAAAACAAAATGACGTAACTACAAGTGAGTTTATGTGATAAATGCAAAAAGGCGTAACTAACAAAAAAATCAAATTTTTACTTAATTGTTATGACTGCCATTAAACTAAATAACTAAATTTGTTAAAAAAATTATAGTCTATTATTCGTCATATGCAATATCACCCTGCCGGGCATACTTTTTCATTTCACATGACATGTTTATGGTTTTCATTCAAAACAGTTTTTTGCTTCTCCTACACAATTATGCTTTTGTTAGTTGCGCCTTTTTGCATTTTAGTTAACAATGTAGATAATGGATTTTAATTACAACCTCAAAATATTGAAAGAAAACAAAAGATGACACGGAAATAATTAAATAATTTATTCAGAAACGTTTAAATCAAGAAATTTTGCTTTGTTGTAGAGAAAGAAGGATACATAATAATAATACAATTTTTGATATTAATATTGAAAAAATTCACAACAATTGTTTATTTCCTATATATATATATCGTTAGCTAAAATGCAAAAAGGCGTAACTAACAAAAAATTGAAAATTGACTTTTTGAATGAATATTGTGAATGTCAAAAAACTACATGTGTTGACAAAGTTTTACACGTCTGCGGTCAAAAAGCGTAACTACAAGTGGGTTTATAATAATAATATAATTGAAAACCAGTTTTGTTTTATTTAGGTATACATCTGTCAGTGTATTAAAAGTGAACTTAGAAAAATCTTCATTTGACATGTTTATAGTTTTCATTCAAAACAGTTTTTTGCTTCTCCTACACAATCATGCTTTTGTTAGTTACGCCTTTTTGCATTTTAGCTAACGATATATATATATATATATATATATGATATGTTATCTACAGACATACATATATTGTAATCAGGACTTGTCGTCAATAAAATTCAATGTTACAATTATATATATATATATATAGACACATGTAAATCTTGAAAGCAGAAAATTGTCACAAGTAAAATTATAAAAAAAATTCGAATCATACGTCTTCATGAGACTACTTTGTACAATTATACCATGCCTTAAATTATGCTAATAACATTGTTTAATCTCTCAAAACATTATCCTCCATCCACGGTTTCAAAAATTGAATGATATTTTTATTTAATTCGAACCTACAATAAAATCTCCCTATACAATTTTTAGTGAAAATCTCAACAACTCTTTCAGATTCAGAGGATTTTTAATAATTTAATTGTAATCAATCGGTTCTATTCTGCACATACGTAGCTATCGTATGAACTAGGATAAATGTTATCAGTCTTCTTATTTTCTACCTTGGTTTGTGTTCAAAAATAGGGAATTTTATAAAAATCAAATTTCCTAGATCCGCCATTTTGTTATTTTTATGCGATTTTTATAATCCTAGTTCATAACAGAGGCAAACAGGTATTTATTTTATTTATTCATATTGTATAATACAAAGCCTTCATGTTCAAACATAATATATTACATTGCAAAATATAACCTGAATTTTAATTCTAAAATCTTAATTCTAATTGAATTGGCTCCCCAGTCTTTATTTACATTATAGGTGTTACTAAAATAAATATATATAAGTCCCATTAGCAATAACATATCCCAAAGCATCAATTACTTTATATTATAATATGTAAATAAGTGTAACAAATGTATAATGAAACGTGAATTTAGTCTGTGTGACTTGATAAGTACATTCTAAGCTTCAAGCGAAAAGCATTATTTGAGTGAGAAAATATGCGTAAATCAACCGGCAAATAGTTCCAGACCCTGGCTACTCGAACCACAAAAGATTTTTCAAAACAAGAGTTACGTATATGTGGTATATTAATTTGAGTATTCCTAGTAGAACGGGAAAATGTAAAAAGATTAAGCAAGAGCTTTGGGTATCCGCTTTTAACAGTTTTAAAAAAGTGCAACGTATTCTTTTGAATATCTGTGGAATATTTAGATTCCGTCGTTCCAGTGGCCGGAAATCATGCCCGCTATGGAAAAGAAAGACTTTTCTTTCATAAAAAAGCTACAAAGCAACAACGTATTGGAGGATTTTCACATTATTTTTAGTATAAATATAAATGTTTGTAGACTGCTAATTTCTTAAATGTGCTCTTCGGACATTGAAATTATTGTGAATAAATAAAAAATATGTTTTCAATTAAGTTTCCTATCGTTTAAGTCTTCGAATACCTATGTGCAGAATTATAACTCTTCAATATAATACACATCCATTTGCCAACCATTTGAAAATCGTCGACATTTCAAATGAAGAATGCGGGTCCCTTAATATAATAATATATATTTAAATAGCGTCCACTTTCGGCGGAGAGCAGATTAGCTAAAAATACCAATTTCATTTATTCAGCTGTAATGTTTAATCAGGATTGATACGGTCCACCAATTATAACTTAATTGAAGCATTATTTACCCTAAGAGATTGATAAGATCGTTTATATGTAGAAAGACAGACCAGTCACAGATCGTTGCATATTGATAATGAGCACGTTCTTCTGGCAGTAATGCTAATCGACAAGACAGGATTCTCGCCGAGTCTTTGTTGAATGCTTCTGCTATGATGTTTATTGTCGTCGGTGCGGTTGCTTTCTTTCTTTGGGGTATTTATGTTTACTTGACATGGAACTTTGATCACTGGCGTAAAAGGGGAGTACCAGGCCCAATACCGCAAGTATTACTTGGTACATTCCCTGGTACTGTATTAGGCAAGAGGAATTTAATTTATGATCTGGATAATATATATAGGTAAGACGATTTCATTCAATACCAGTCCAACATTTAAATTTCGTTCCATTCATTACAGACAGTTCAAAGGTCAAACACGATTTGTAGGTGTTTTCATGACCAGAAAACCACAGCTATTATTGATTGACCCGCAATTGTGTAAGGACATTTTAGTTGGCAACTTCAAATGTTTTCAAGATAACGAGTCATCAAAATGGGTAAGTGTTAAAAAAACAAGTACTTATGCATGTGTGCCAATGAACTTGTAATGCAGATGGACCGTCATAAGGAACCAATATCTGGAAGCAACCCCTTTGTTCTTCCGTCGGCAGTTTGGAAAACAAAAAGGACAGAAATCGTGCAAGGGTTAACACATTCCAAGGTTCGTAGCTTTTAAAAAGAAAAGGCAAACCCATTTAAACATTCGCCACTATTGTTTAGATTAAAAATATGTACCCTATTATTGACTCCATTGGAGATAGACTTGTGCAATATCTGCAGAAGATGATGCAAAATGATGTGTTTACCATTGACGCCAAAGAGGTATGCCAACGTTCGTTATGTACAGTGTTGCCAATTTAGCACTTTTCGTGCTAGATTTAGCACTTTTTAAACTCGTTTAGCACCAAAAAAAATCGATCTAGCACCTAGCACTTTTTTTTAGCATTTTTAATTTGTTCCAAGTTTTTTTTTACAAATTTTAGTATCGCTCCAAAAAATTTTCGTTTTTCGATTTCACATTAGCACATTGAAGTTTCTGTATGTTTCACATGGTGGGTTTGAATTTCCAATGAACGGAGCAGTACAGTCGGACGGGGCTATCCATATGATACCCTACGAAACTACCACAAGACTTAAATTTTCTGCGAAACTAATTGCCGTGTCAGTGAAAAATTCTGCGTGGTATCAACCTCATGGGTTATAATAATACTACAATACCATAACATAAAAAGTAAACATGATTTTATGTTTGACCCGGCCGAACTTTTTTAACCTCCACCATGAGGATGTCAATCAAAATATCTAAAATTAATGGACATACCGAAAAATAGGTGGTAAACAGATATTGAAAATGTCCAAACATCTAATGGTGGGGCTACCGTTATATGGGTTTATAATAAAACAGAGATCAATATTGATATTTCTGGTAGTGAGAAATAGTACGGAAATGTGCCATACAATGTGAACCCAAAATACAAAATTACAGCCAATTTAATTTAAAAACGGGTCAAAAAATTTTATATTTGACAGGTATAAAGTCGGACATGCGAAAATCGACATAGAGTTTTATTCTGATCAAGAATATATATGTAAAACTTTGTGGTGTCTCCCGTGAATATTTCGATGTGTTGCAAACGGAATGACAAATTTAATATAGACTCCACCTTATGGTGGAGGGTATAAAAACACTGTGAACAATTTGGGGTATATAAACGAATATAATTTAAATAAATGTAAAGTCAGCTTTACTTCTCTTGACAAGAAAAAATGTAATGGAATGTTTTTTTTTTTAAATTTACTGCTAAGGTCTTGGTTCATTTAATTAAAAAAAATTGACAGATCATTATTTAAGCAGCCATGCTTTTTCGTTGAGTAGATTTCCCGTATTTATTGGTTTATCGGTGTTCGGGTTACAAAGGTGGCATCTAAAAAAAAAAACAAAACTATAGATGTGGCACTTCACCATAACCGGAACTTTATGCAAAATTGCATAGATATCATCTAGTGTAATAATGGTAATTCTAAACATTATTAGAATACGTAGACTCCTGTAAATATTTACGTATAGCTCCCACACCTGGTCTTTGTCCTTCTACAATAAATGTATACGGCATAGAATACAAATTTTGTATTTTTCGGACAAAAGTCTTGGTCAATTTGAATCGCTCAATATACTTATTCATTAGCGTTTCCTTATGTACAATTTTGTGACCTCTAGAGATACCAGAAAAACATATAAACTGATTTTGGTTGACTTCAACAGCCAAATATTGACCGATTTTCCCAAACACAATAAGTGTCTTCACTAGCCAGAACAGGATATGCAAAATATCGTGACAAGTTTTTACTAAAATGTGAGTCCAGGACCAATATTTTGAGACGTTATAAGCTGTTGGAGCACTTATAACATCCCCACAAAATAGCTGCTAATTTTAATTTTAAGAAATAAAGATGTCATTATAAAATATAATCAAATTTCTTTATATTTAGTTTTAGCACTTTTTTCTGGCACTTTTCTAAAATTTTTAGCACTTTCTAGCATATTTTTCAACAAAATCTAGCACTTTTTCTCCATCAATTTTTGGCAACATTGGTTATGTATAATGTATGTAGTTTCATTAATCAATTGATATTTCGAAGGTGTCATTGCTGTACACGGCAGAAGTTGTTGCCGATATAGGCTGGGGCATAAAAACCGATAATTTCAGAGCAAAAATTCCTAAAGAAAACTGTATTTTTTTCCATATGTCTAAGCGAATGATTGCCCAGACGTTCAGGGCCTTTAAGTACTTTTTTCTCATGGGTATATTTCCCGGCGTACGACACTTTCTGTACGTTCGATTTTTCCCAGTGGAAACAGACCGCTTCTTCTTGAATTTAACTCACTCCGCACTGAAATCCAGGCGTCGGGCACCAATCAGAAATGATTTTCTTCAGCATATGCTGGAGTTGCAGAGCAGAAAGGGCCTCTCTGAAACTGAAATATTGGCTCACCAATTAACACTCCACTTCGATGGCTTCGAAACATCAGCCACATTACTAAGTCACTGTCTCTTGCTGGTAGGTTATGAATATTATAGTTGCAATTTAATTTAATTACATTACAGTTGGCCAGAAATCCGGACAAGCAGCAGATATTGCGAACTGAAATACAGGAACACATGGTTGCCAACCGAAATATTTTAGCCTTCAACGATTTAATGAAACTTCCCTACTTAGATCAATGTGTATCAGGTAAAAATGTTCAAATATACATAAGCATAGACCGAGCTTTATAATCTCATTCTTGTTATCAGAAACACTGCGTATTTTCACTCCTCTACCATTTATGACTAAGCTTTGCACGGAGACATGCTCGTTCCGAAATGCGGACGGTGTGAATTTGATTTTACGACCTGGGGACGTTTGTATTATTTCATTGTACTCTATACATCATGATCCCGAATACTATCTACAACCGGAGGAGTTTTGGCCGGAACGATTCTCAGATGTGTATGGCGGCACCAAACCGTTTAAGGATACCAGCATATATATGCCCTTTGGCGACGGACCACGCATTTGCTTGGGTATAACTATTTTTTTTAGCAAAAAAGAACAATTTTAGCCTAAATCTCAAAACAAAATGACATTCCCTATACACCGCTATGATAGTTGAGATCAACTTATACCCTTTTTAAGCTACATGGTAAATCGAATAATAATCTAGATTCTTTGCAATGGTTGCAAACATTGTATGCAAATAGTCATTACAATTATAAGACCCCGCTGTCACTCATAGATACACCTCTTGCAATAGACAAAAAACCCCTTTCCTCTCTGAAATGAGTCTGTTGACTATGTAAATAATTTTTAAATGCTGTTTTGTTTAATTGTTTGATCCTTTTAGCAAAAACTATATCCTCAAAAAAAAAAAAAACATTTAAGAAAATCTTGCCATTTTCCTCTAAAACGGTCTTTGAATAATTTTGAATTTTTCGTTTTGAGTCACTTGACCGCGCATTTTCTGAGTATTTCGTCGTCTATAATTTTTTTTTTTTTGGTCTAGTAAAATTTACTGTGTAAACCCTGTCGTATAAATCTTTTTTATGTTTTTTTATAGGAATGACGTTTGGCTTAGCACAGACGAAAGCTGCCATCGCAAAACTTATTCTGAACTTTGAACTAACGTCCAGCGAGGAAACGCGCAAGGATAACTATCAGTCCGCCCACGGCTTCATAATTGGCTTGGATGGCGGTATATTCTTAAATCTAAAACAATTCTAAATATTTCATATATGTAAAATAAAAACACGACACGACTGGTTAAATAAAGTTCTAAATGTAAAATAAATCAAACAATTTTTTTTTTTACAACTCACCCTTAATACGTTTTTGTAGTATTTTGGTAAAAAAAATTGGTCGGTCAATTTGAAACATATTGTATAAGCATATAGTATACGACAATTATTTCCTTGTTGGTAGCACATTAAGCCACCCCAAACAACGCGGCCAAGAGAGATGCATTTATTTATAGAACGTAAACAAGAACAAGGTCGTAGTTAGCAACCTGCAAGGGGCATTATTTTGGGGTAAATTTATTCCACTTAGTACCGATGCGCCAAACATTCATCACCTATTGATATCATTATTATTGACGTAAGTATCAGCAATTAGAATTGCCTCACAATATTCATATTTATTTTATGCTTCTGGTCCCATCGTCTATGTTGCAGTAATCATTTGTTGTTATTAGTGTTGATGGTCGTCAGTATTACATTATATTTCGATAAATTAATAAGCTGGCTCTCCTACGACAATCGGAAACCAAGTATCGTCATTACACGCAACTCTTAAAAAGGTATTTAACTTCGAAAACAAACATTCGTTTCGATTCTGTAAGATCTACACATGGAACACATATTGTTAATTTTCGGTTTGATTTGTGTAAGTCAAATATATCGCACCACTATAAAGCTATTAAAAAGTTTTTATTTCAATATTTCCAGTAGACCATTTGACGAGCAAACCCGGAGTGCATATTAATATTCCCTCATTATAGATTCCCTAGTAATCTGTTATAAAACATTACAGGATAAAAATGACCAGAGCGAAATCTAATACGGCACTGATATGCGAAATAACACGTCTAAAGGCTCAACAAAAATATCTGGAAGCAAATCAAATGAAAATCACACCCGGCAATTTCTCCAGCATATCCTCTTCCCACCTAGTATCCTCTTCAGCAGCAGCGGCCGAATCAAATGATCTTTTAAATTTCATAGTCGAAATAAACAACCTAAAATCTCAACAAGAAGCTGACGTGAACAAGTTTCGTTTGAAGTTACGTACTTGCGCAAAGGAAATTTGTCACGAAATAAAACAATTGCGCGAAGATACTAAACATAAAAAATCTATTGAAAACATATCGGTCAATATAATCGGGGAAAGGATCATAGATATTAGCACGCGGATTGAAGAATTACAAACAACAAATTTGGGCGAACTTAAGTCATTGCAAGATAAGTACCCTCATTTAGAAAAGGACGTTATGATTTTGCATTAATTATCGTTCCAAGATATATAAATACACATGTAAATAGTTTCCAACCTGTTAAATAAAATTATTTATAAACAATAAACTAAACTATAATTGAATTATCCATTTTAACTGGATAAAATATCAAAATATCTTCAAAAAAAAAAAAAAAAAACTAATGATTGTGCACGCAAATTTGAATAAGAATATTTTTTGTGTATTCTTCAAACAAAAAATTTTGGTTTCTTTTTTTTATTTATTTAACAATTCCAAAGTCCGAAGACCACATTTAAGAAATTGACAATCGACAGAATATACTTATAACAACAATAAAAAATTTTAAATTAAATCTATATATGCTTGGCTTGATGCTCAATACAAAAAACACAAAACTCAAACAAGAAAATTAAATTCAACATTTACTTATCACAAATTTCCAAAAGGATAAAAAGTGAAAGTAAATAGAAAAAATGACCTAAAACTCTGCTAGCAGTTTAAAAAACTACTCGGTTTGCCGAGCAGAAATAGCTCATCAACAGGCATTGCAAAAAAAAAAAAAAAACATAAGTTACAAACTTAGCATCAAACCCAGCATTAAAAAATAATATAACAGCTTAAAATAAAGATCAGGATTGTAATTACTACTAAAATTTATAATTTTATAATTTATTTACGTTTACTTTTGAAACTACGACATGTATGTGCTACAATATTCATAGATTTCCTAGATCTACAATACGATTAGTGAAATCGTAAAATAAATAAAATGTTCTAAAAGACATTCTTGATACAACATTCTTGGTTTATCTGATATTTGGGCCATGATTTAGCTTTGTTAAAACAAGCAAAGACATCATGGTATATATTTTTTTTTGCTATACCTTCGTACTGACAGCAAAGCTATAATCTTGCCGTACTTTCTTCAGAACATCTAAAATCGGAATGTGACTTATATAAGAATCAAATTTTTGATAAAAACAGAAACTTATATATAGTAAACATTATACGGCATTTACATTAGAACTTTTTACCGGGTTAACCTACTTTATGAGGATTTATTTGGCATATATTCAAAGGAATTGAAAATTTAAACCCAATGGGTTAACCAAATCCGGTTCAATGTAAACGACCTTTTAATTCAATATCGGCTATATAAGCTAAATTGCTTCATGTATAGGGGAGCACCTTTGAACACTTTTTGTTTTCAAGCCTTATAATTTTTTTTTATTTTATAATTTTTGGTTTCTTATAAATTTTAACTAATAGGTACATATGTAACCTTTAAAATGAATATACATATGACACACTATAAGCTTGATAAATATATTTTATTACTGTTTTAATGGACGAAGTCAAAGTGTTCAAAACTGTCCCCCCAGGGGAGCAGCTTTGAACAAGGGTTGTCATTTTTGAACGACATGGTTTTTACAGTGCTTATGTTCAAATATGTACATATGTATTTTATTTATACATATCAGAAATACATTTATTCATTAAAAAATATACATTTTCAAAATTTAAAATAAATTAGATCAAAATTTATTAATACATAAAATGACTTAAGGGGACCCCCCCATTCTCGGGGTCAAAATTTTTGTTGACTTAATTCCAATCTACACTAATTCAAGAGTGTCCCTGCAAAATTTCAAGTGAAAATCTCAAGAACTCTTGAAGATATAGCCAATTTATTGTGCTTCTCAAACTTTAAACACGTTTTTCTCTAAACATTTTTTTGCGAATGGCGGGCACGACAACTCAAAAACTAATAACCCAATCGATTTCAAATTTTTACACGTTTCTCTGTGAGTGTATAGCTATCGTATGAACTAGGATAAAGCCAATCGGTGAAAATCTTCCTTATTTTTTACCTAGGTTTTTGGTAAAAAATGGGCGATTTTCCAAAAATATTTTTTCAAAGGTCTGCCATTTTGTTAATTTTAGAGCGAAGTCAATAATCCTAGTTCATACGAGAGCCAGACATGTACTCCTTCTAACACCGTTGGAATTTTCGGATTCCGATGTTCCAGTGAGGAGTTATCATGCCCGCCATCAAAAATAAGGACTTTTCTTTGATCACAAAAAACAACAACAAAACAACAACAAACATTTTTTGTAAATTATTTTTCTTTCTTTTTAAATCTTCAAATATATATGTGCCAAGTTACAAACCTTTACAAGCATTGGTATTCATTTACCAGCCCATTTAAAATCTTAAAAATAAAAAATCGAGAATGGGGGGGTTCCCTTAAAAACAAAAATTAATATGGTGAAAAATACAGTTAATTTCGTAATATCATTAGCCCATTTGAAATTTTGAGAAATCGAAGCCAAAATTTAAAAACTTCGTTTTTACTCGAGTTTAATGGGAATCTTCAAAGGTGCCCCCATGGCATTTTACGGAAATTTATAACTTTTTTGTAAAAAATATATATATGAAAGAAATTACATTAGTTATGTTTGAAATGATTGTTGGAATGCAAAAAAAATGTTTAACGACAGAAAACTATCATATAATTTTTTCCTGCGCCCTTACAACCAAATGAATAAAAGTTTGGTCACCCATGCACAATTTGTCGACAACGGAAAAAGCAAGCAAAGTGGTTTACGCAGATAGAGAACAAGATTGCCATATACAACCAGTAAGGAAAGTAGTAAAGTCGGACGGGGCCGACTATATGATACCCTTCACCACTATGGGTATATTAAACAGGACTATTTACATGAAATTGGATGAAATAAAATATGTAATATTTATCTAAATGTGAATCTACCTAGATCTATCCATAAACATGTCATTCGTTAGTTACAATGGGACAAAGGTATGTAAATCAACTTCAAACAAATATAAATAGGTCATCCGTTGGGCTATGTCTGTACTTCTAGAAAACGCAACTACGTAATTCTATGCTCAATTTTGTACGTTGTGCAAAATTTGATGTCAATCTGACTAACATGAGGAGTTTGATGCCCAATTTACTTGAAATCGGTCGGAAATATATATGGAAGCTCTATCCAAATATTAAGCGGTTTCAAACAAACTTGTCACAGGTTAGGTTATACTAATTTCAGAACGTTTTGTTCCTATCAGCCAATTGGTTCCTATAATAAAAAGGAGCTATATCTAAATCTGGACCGATTTTCACGAAACAAGGCAGACATCACTCTAGGCTCAATTCAGTACGTTATGCCAAATTTCATGCAAATCGAAAGATATATAGCGACTTTAGTGCACCATTTACATGAAATCGGACGAAACTATATATGGGAGCTATATAGAAATCTGGACCAATTTTCTCGAAACTTGGCAGACATCACTCTAGGCTCAATTCAGTACGTTATGCCAAATTTCGTGCAAATCGAAGGATATATAGGGACTTTGGTGCACCATTTACATAAAATCGGACGAAACTATATATGGGAGCTATATCTAAATCAGGACCGATTTTCTCGAAACTTGGCAGACATCATTCTAGGCTCAATTAAGTACGTTATGTTAAATTTCGTGCAAATCGAACGATATATAGGGACTTTGGGGCACCATTTACATGAAATCGGACGAAACTATATATGGGAGCTATATCTAAATCTGAACCGATTTTCACGAAACTTGGCAGACATCATTCTAGGCTCAATTCAGTACGTTATGCCAAATTTCGTGCAAATCGAACGATATATAGGGACTTTGGGGCACCATTTACATGAAATCGGACGTAACTATATATGGGAGCTATATCTAAATCTGGACCGATTATCTCGAAACTTGGCAGACATCACTTTAGGCTTAATTCAATATGTTATGCCAAATTTCGTGCAAATGGAAAGATATATAGGGACTTTGGGGCACCATTTACATGAAATCGGACGAAACTATATATGGGAGCTATATCTAAATCTGGACCGATTATCTCGAAACTTGGCAGACATCATTCTAGGCTCAATTCAGTATGTTATGCCAAATTTCGTGCAAATCGAACGATATATAGGGACTTTGGGGCACCATTTACATGAAATCGGACGAAACTATATATGGGAGCTATATCTAAATCTGGACCTATTTTCACGAAACTTGGCAGACATCATTCTAGACCTAAATGATTAGGCTGTACCAAATTTCGTGCAAATCGAAATATATATAGGGACCGTTTACATTAAATCGGTTAAATATATATATGGGAGCTATATCTAAATCTGAACCGATTTTTCCCAATTTCAATAGGGTTCGTCCTTGAGCCGAATAAGTGACTTGTACCAAATTTCATCCAAATCGGATCATAAATGCGACCTGTACTTTGTTTACAATTTAACATCTACAGACGGACGGACAGACGGACGGACGGACGGACATGCATAAATCGACTCAGAAAGTGATTCTATGCATATTCTCAAAAGGAACCATGTGTCTATCTCGTTTCCTTTTGCCTGTTACAAACATATGCACAAAGACATAATACCCTGTACCACAGTGTGGTGAAGGGTATAAAAATGTGGTTGCGGGTCGGAAAAATTTTAAACCAAGATTTTATGAGCGCTGTTCAAAGGTGCCCCCCTCTCCCCTACTTTTTAAACCAGTGGTGGGCATGACTATGTGAGAGTAAGTGTAGGTGAGCGTAACTGAGAATTAATTACAAAAATGACTGAGAAAAAGAGAAAAATCAGAGTACGTTTTTAACCATTAACGCTATCGTATGATTTTGGAAAGTTTTGGTCACATAAAAAACACCTGCAGTAAACATTTTTATGATAAACCCACGATTTTTTTATTTCAAAATCCTAGATATAGTGTATTATATATCGCATGTAATATTTCCAAAAATAACGGTTTTTATAAAAAAAAACATTTTGAAGTGGAGACATATTTAAAACATCCTGAAAAAGAAAAACATTTAAAAAATCATTTTGATTTAGTATAGTAACTCAATTAAGCATCGTTAATACCGTTTTCAGGTAAAAATTAAATATTTCTGTAAAATCTATATAAATTGGCAACGATTTATACAGTACACCTAACATTTTGTAGTTGCTAATAATATAAACAAGCTTTAGCATTGATTGCTATTTTTTTTTTACTGTGCGTATTTGCATGACTGCGCTACATATTTTGAGGATGAATTGTACAAGCAATGCTGTAATTTTGTAATTCGCAATAAATAAGGTATTGCGCTCCTCCTTTATAGGGATGGTAAGACATCCGTATTACCTAAATACGCAACGCAACAAATTTTTCAAAAAAAAAAAAAAAAAATCAAAAATTCTAAAATACGCATTGTCAATGTTGAAATTTTTCAACTTTATATTTTTATACGCAATGCGTATATGGGTAACATTAATTGAAATACATGTATTTAACTTTTGAGGTGAATAAATTCGTACGCATACGCATGAATTTAGGTACGAACCTGAAAAAATTTGTTGCTATAAAAGTAAACATTTCTTGCTGAATTAAAAAATGTTTCATCCACTTTCGCCGTTTTCAACTGACACACATTTAGATAAGGTCCTTGCGTATGTGGATAATACGGACGTTCAACAAACAATGTAAAGTTGAGAAGGTGGGTATTCTAGTACGCATATGCATTGAATTAGGTTCGAGCCTCACATGTATTTATATGTGTTTTACATTTCTGGTGAACAACGTCGAACGAGCTAGTCACATTTTAAGTAATGCTGTTAGATTTTTGAGTTTAATAAAATCATAACGGGATAGCAAGTTAATAATAATAATAATCAAAATCATAATAATAATATATGAAAATAGAGTATTTTTCTAAATATTACATACCTTTGTTTTGGTGACAATGTTTGATGCTAATTTAACAACAGCAAAGTTCCCCTTTCCAATTGTTTTCTCCAAATCATAGCATCCAACCCTTAATAGCTTATCCAAAGATATTTTGCTAGTGGAGGGCACTTTATAATTTTGTGTTGATGACATTTTGGCGCTCCTTGAATTAACTGCCCAATAAAATGTGGTGTTTGTGCGATTTCTCTATTTAAAACATATAACCGTTTATCGTCACATTACCCATAAGATTCGCCGACTAACGCGCATGACTACATTGGTATCGTTTTTATCATTTCGATAATTCACATTGACGACAAAAAATATCGCTATATTTGAATATAATAACGAATATATTTTGTATATGTATAGTTTTTAGTTTTTAATTAGATTGTTTTTTTTTTTGGTTCTCGTGGACGAAATAGGTTCCGGCCTTTTCGCAGTTGTCGTAAGTAAACAATGTCTTCTAGCAACTCATAGCATAGTTGAATCCGAACGAAACGACGTGCGTCCATATTTTGTTATTAACGCTATTATTTATCTAGAAGTACCTGAAATGCAAAGAAAAATGGATTTATTAAAAACAGGACATGGTCTATATTGTCAATATACAGTTGGGTTCATAAAAATAGTAGGAATTTTATAAATATACAAATGTCATTCAAACAGCCAAATACGCACATATAGTTGATCACTGGCGTACAAAATTTTGAAGAATGGAATGTAAATATCGATAAGGCGAATAAAGTCCCGTGAGATTAGCTGTCGCTTCCTTGAATTTCTCTAGTTAGATGAAATTCATGAAAAATTTACCGTTCGAAGTTAATGCAAATAAAAAATAAATAAAGCCAAAAATAAGCTAAAGTGTTTTATAAACAAGAACAATATTTTGATTTGATATTTTTATTAATTACCATTAATTTACTTGATGGTATTAATTTTTATTGGGAAGAGGAAATCTTGTCTACGAAACCATTGCTTTTACCCAACATGTTTGTGTTATTTTCGTTTTTATGAACAGGACAAAAATTCACTATTTCTTTTTATTAGCAATTTTTTAAAAGTAAATTATTTTTTTCGGGAATAAAGCGTTGAAAATAATAAAAACGAAATAAAACTATCTATTTGCGCAATTTAATTAGAAAAAATAAGTTTTTCTAAACAATTTTACAGCTCAGTAAACCGCCAACACTACTGAAGTTCACTATTAATGTTAGATAAACTTCAGTACGTACTGCACTAATATTTTAATGAACACAGCTGTATGAGCATGTTTAGTTAGTGTAAATAGTGTACATTACAACGACAGTTGGATCTAAGAATTCACCGAGTCCAAATCACGCACATTGGTATGTGTTCGAAACTGATCCCCGTTGCGTTGGAGATTTGACAATTCCAGTCCGGCAAATAATTTGTATTGCAGCATTTTTCGGTTAATTGCACATCAAAATTTGCACAATTTTTTGTTCAATTAACCGAGGAACCAATTATCCGATACCCGCTTAATTGAACAGTTTGTTCAATTACAGAAAACACGCATAATTGGGAGAAAATAATTTCTAATGTTATTGTCAAATACAAATTAAAGATTTAAGCTTTCTCGCGGTTTTTCCGGGCCGACTATATGATACATATGTATCCTAACAGACGTCGCTCTTCGAAGGAACATTGACACGGAACTGAACGAACATAAATGTATGGTCTTTATCTATCTATATTTTTGTGAACATACTAACATAAATCCATACATATGTCATTTTACAACCTAGGCTAATGTTCAAATTGGAAGTTTGGTGCGCCATATACCTAAAATCGGACAAAAATATATATGGGAGCTATATCTAACTATGAACCAATGTCAACGAAACTTGCCAGAGATTAAGTTATATTAATTTCAGAACATGGTACAAAATTGTGTGCACATTGGACAAACTTTGGGTCTTTCGCACACAACTTATATAAAAATTTAAGAAAATATATATGGGAGCTAGACGAAGTTCACGAAATTTAGCACACAATATACTAGTCATAATTCAGTATGATATGCTAAATTTCGTAAAAATCGAAAAATATATAGGGAATTTGGTGCACCAATTAGATAAAATCGGACAAAAATATATATGGGAGCTATATATGAATTTGAACCGATTTTTCTCAATTTCAATGGTGTTCGTCCTTGGGCCGAATACATTTGGTGTACAAAATTGCATCTAAATCGGATTACAATTCGATCTGTACTTCGTTTACAATATAACATCAACAGACGGACGTACATGCATAAATCGACTCAGAAATTGATTCTTTGCATATTCTCAAAAGGAACCATGGGTCTATGAAAATGCCAGATCAATAATAATGCAATTAACCGGTGAAATACAAGAGGAAATTTATTTCTGATGACATGAATTTGGAACCAATTAAACGGGAAAATCAATTAACAGGGCTAAATTATCCGAGGAAATTTACATGTATTTTCGTATGCAATATTTGTTTGTCCCATCATGTGGTTCAATTAAGCGGGGAAACCAATTAACCCTAGGGTCAATTAACCGAAAAATACTGTATTATGTTTTGGTAGATATTTAAATCTCAAAACTCCACGTAAATTGAATTTCAATTGAAATTGTCTTTGCCAATCCGAAACGCGAAGGGCACAGTATGTAGAACTATGTAACTACATACATAGCTTAACCAATATTCTTTGCCTGTTGTAAAATCATTATCAATGAAATATTTCGTATCATAACACCCACACATATGTACATAACACCATCATTTAGCGCAGTACTCCTATCATGAATGGAACAAAAGCAACAACAAAAACAACAAACTTTTCACACCAGCAAACAACTGCCTGCTTGCTGCCTGCCCTTCCTCGACAGTGACTACTTTTTACACTATGTAATAATGGATATAATGAATATTACAACAACCAACCTTCAACTCGATGCCCCATGACGTGAGGAGGCTACGTACTTTCCTTACGGAGCTTTACGAGCTCGTCTTATTATCATTGGCAAATGTATTAATGTTAGATAAACTTCTTATTTACAGATTTAGTTAATTTTGCAATCGATTTTTCTTTTTCAGAGGTATTGCCCACTCACACACTTTTCATTGCACACTTGATTTGTAACTTCGCCGAGCCTTTCCGTTTCATTTCGGTCGTCACACGGTCCACTTTTTACAATTACATCAATCACACCACCTTATTATCGCAAAACAGTGGCAGCAGACAAGACAAATATTTTTTTTAATCATTTAATTAATAATTTTTACTAAAGAATCAACGACACTGAACGAACGTAATAGGGATACGTCAGTCGACTTTGGACTAATCAGTTAATCGAAATTATCGAAAGTTGAGGGCCCAGCTATAAAGGTAGGAAGAGCGACAATGAGAGAACCAGCGATAATGTCAAAATCAGTCAATAGCTCGATGCCACAATAATTAGGTAATCATTTATCGCAGCTGACTATTCAATTAACTGCCAAAGAGTGTAGGAAAACCTACACTCAAGGTGTTTTAATAGGTGTATGCATCAGATACAACAATAAACATTTTACAAAAACAACATTGTTGTTATAGAAATTAAATTGTCATGCTGACAAATAGGTTTTGATAAAAGTAAATAAAAACAATATACATTAAACAAAAACAAAATACATTAAATAAAAATAATTTATACATTTCTTCAGGTCGAATAATTTTGAAAAGTGTCCCACATGTGAGCCTTGGTTCCTTGAGGATTTTGTTTATATTTTAAATTACAATAAATAGAAGTGGTAGAAAAATTGTAGGACATAAATCCCCGGTCAAACACCACAAACCCTTATACAATCTGTCAATAGACTACGCAACAGAATCTCATTTTAAATTGTAAAAAGTTGTATTTAGCCAGGCGTTTGTAGAAAACTAATGGACAAATTCTCATACAAGCTATATAACACCATTTCCTTGATTTTGGGGAAAACAGGGGATTTAGGGGCAGATTTCCTTTTCGATAACAATCTCCTTTTGGTATTAATTTAATTTAATTTCAATTTATTTCATAAACAAGAACCTAGACCAAGGGTCCTACTTTTGGACTACTCCAAAAGCTTAAAATTAACAGTATATCACTTAATTATATCATAACCAACAATACATGAACTACTCCAAAGGCTACTACTACTAAAAGGCTTAAATCGATCATAAGAACACACATATACATATGTATATTTGCAATCTGGAACCCAAGTTGTACTTGCGGCAAATATGTGGAACAAATCAGCGGACGGATTTAGAACTGATTTAAGCTCACGCTTCCTTGTCCTCACTTGGGACATTAATAAATATTCTGTCCCTATAAATTCATTATTATTGCACTTTTATTAATAAAAAAATAATAATCGAAAACAAAAGACAATATTTTAAATCGAAATGAAACGTTGACAAATATTTTTGACAATTTACTTTACAAACAATACTGAATTCGATGTGCAATGTTGCCAACCATTAGATATATTACAGATAAAATTTGACAGATGGACGGGTAAAAAACAAATGTTTTTATTTTGATACATCATCATATTGTTGCATCTAGGTGCTAACCGTGGTACAATTATACCTCTAATTTGTGAACTATATTGTATTGCATAATAGTATTGGAATGTTACCATATTCAAAACCCTATAATAGACTAAAATTGAATTAAATTTATGGTCTGTTCCAGTACTTTTTTAATAGTAAAGCTAGTAAAAGGGAAACATTTCAAAATCGCTCTCAGAGTACAATATATGGTCTGTTACTGTACTGTAATAATCTACTACTTTTTACTACGATAACGAATTTTCCTTTATGATAATAGTAAAATCGAGTAGAAAATAGTAAAATCGAGTAGAAAATAGTAAAATCGAGGAGATTATTGAAGTACGGGAACATACCAATAATTTGAAAAGTATGGGTACGCAAATCTAGTAAATATGCCAAAATTAAACGGCAATACTTCAAAATCAACATTTCAGCCAATCAGAAGTTGGCATTCCTGTTTACCATTTTTATTCGGACAATTTTTTCGAGTAAAAAGTTACAAACAGAACGCTACTTTGTTTTGTACTCTCTTAAATTTGGTTCAAAATTTTTCGAGTTTTGGGAGTGGAGGAACGAGTTTCGTGTAAAAAGTTTGAAAAACTTGTAAAAATAGTAGATTCTTTTAGGTTCTGGAACGGAACTTTAGTAAATCCATTGCATATATGTCAAATAAAGCCACTCTTTATATTAGCTGTGTCTGTTTACTCAATATTTGGTAATAATTGTTACTCGATGTTGTCCGCTTACTCAAAAATTACTTCTAGTAAGATTTATTCAGGACAATTCCATGTATTTTAATCAGCAATATTTTTTTAATTTTTACGAAGTCAAAAATATTTTAATTGTATGAATTTTATTCATTACTTATTATAAAAAAGAAAATTTCAGTAATTTCATGTAAATTTTTGCAAAATCTTACGGGAGTTTTCTTTTTTACTTTTCTCAGTATTATTACAAAAGAGAATAAAAACTTACTCTCTGAAGTATAACTTTTACTGGGTAAATGTTACTAGAAAAGTAACCAGACACAGCTATCCAGTCTCATGCAGAAATATGCTTCCAATTTCTTCATAAATTAACTTTTGACAACATTCAGCTTTCAAAATTTACATGAAAATACTGAAATGAGTTACCAATTGAAAAGGGTTGCCATTTTTAATTTCTCAAATGTGACTACCTTCCAAAATTATGCCATGGACGATATCATTCACTTTTCACGTTTTTTAGTAAATTCATTTTTTAAATGAACATTTGCATTTGTTTTTATTTATTTATACTTATCACTGTATTGCGATTCTGTAATTGCTTATATGCGAGTACACACTATGGGGCAACGCACAATGATCGCGTTGCGCTTTTTTATCTGCGCCGCACAATGATCGCGTTGCAGTTGGGAATTTAATATATTTCAACATTTATGTGCATTAACGCAATAACAACAATCGCGTAACGCGATTTACTAATTTTACAATTTTTCCGATTTTAAAAAGGGAAAATAGTAAAAATTTGTGCATTGTTGCAGGTGCTGCTACATACCAGATATTTTACTATTTCAATAAAACACATTCGATGTAAATCTATTATTAGTCAGTCGTCGACCTGTATAACCCTATTACCCGCTCTTTTGACGCCATCGTAATGTCAACATAGTCGTCGTTTCATTTTATTTTTCCAAAGCGTTCAATTCTCAAGAATAGTTTTTTTTTTGTTTACAGATATTGAGGTAATGCCTTCATAGGGTATATTATATATGTTCTTATTCCCATTTATACAGAGATTATTTGCTTATAGGATATTTCGGTCTTCGTGAATTGATCTGTTTCATCAGCAAAAATGGAGCAACATAATGAGCAACAGCAGCAAGTCCGAACAACAGGTCGGATAAAGAAACCGAAAGCGGTATTTGATCCATCGGACAATTATTTACCCAGAGCACAGCGTTTGTCAATAGCCACCCCTCCTGTTGGAGCTGGCGGTGGAACTGTAGGTGGCAGCCATCAAATTCAGGAACGTCGCAGCACACATAGTCGAATGTCTACAGCATCGTCATCAGATAGTACAACTGTGTCCGTATCTATGTCCAAAGAAGTCTGTGTTGGATGCGGCAAGCGTGAATCAAAGCGACCAGCATTTGCTTTTAAAAATCCCCTAATTTCGTGTGCAGAATGCGAGAACAAAATCCATAAACTTTGTCTTAAAGTTGACTTCGATGATTTTGAAAAAGTGCGACAGAACTACAAGTGTGAAAAGTGCTCACCATGTTCAATCTGTAACAAAAGAGGCAATGGTAATGGCGACAACAATGAAACGATCGCTGTAATTTGTTCCACGTGTGCATCACTTTATCATAATGAGTGCTTGCAGTCAAGGGTCTTGAAGGCAGGATACGATCAACCGCGTGATTGGATTTGTACCAAATGCAGTTTGGATCAACAAGAAAAAGTTGATGTCGATATTTTGCCAGTTAAAAAGATCCGAGAAATTATTGGCGGTGGACATGTCCCCCCTGTTGCAGTCAATAACAAAACAATCCAATCGGCATCGACTACGGAATCGAATGCAACAAAACGCACACATGGAGATGCTCAAACGAAAGAGTACACTTCTCTAGATGAGGAGGAGGCCACAGAGGAGAAACGCAGCAAAATTGATAATTCCGTTGTGACGGATGGAAACATAGACTCACAATCCCTGAAATCACATTCATTGTCTGTAGAAAATAATCGTAATAGTCCAAATAACATATCTTGTGAAGATATTCCGGACGTTCAGTTGGTAAAAAATTGGTCGGTGGACAAAGTTTATGAGTACTTCTGCAAACAATTTCCCAAAGAAGCCTATATATTTAAGGACGAGGAGATCGACGGACGGTCACTTTTATTGCTAAAGCGGAGTGATGTTGTAAAGAAGTTACCCCTTAAGTTGGGGCCATCCCTACGCCTGTATAGTGCTATTTTGAAAATTCAGGCGCAATCCAATGACAATACTCTGGGCTGGAACTGTACCCTCTGATCACATTATTTAGTGTTCATTTAATTAATATAGCACATGTCGTGGATATGACTACATCATACTGTTTATTTTATTTTCATTTATATTATTTCTAAACAAAATTAATGCAGACATATACTTGAATTTTAAATAAAAACATATATGTACAACTGGTCGTGTACAAACTTTTAAATTATCTGAACTGTTATTCTAATGTTCTTCCCAGTTGTGTAGGGTGATGAAAGTTATATAATAAAATCTCGAGCGTTTTAATGAAAATTTGATCAGAATTCAAGATAACGAATGCAAATAACGCCATAGATATTTTTAGTTCATAATTTGTCTCTTCTCGTATTACAAGAATCTACTAGATTTTTATAGTAGGTGTGATTATCGTTCGTATAATGACAGACCAGTCGCCGTCGAGGAATCCAATTTTTAGACAGTTACTTTCTAAAAAATTGAAATGTTAGACATAAGACACCTATAATATGATTCTATATAATATGATACGAAACCAATACAGTAGAATTTCGCTTTAACGATTATGCGATTTAACGATGGAGCAATAGCAATCCAGTATATTTTGTACCTTATATAACGATGGTGTTCGAAACTGTTGAACTCAATAAAATTACCACAAACAAAAAGGCCTAGTTTTCCATTGCAATCTTATATCACCAAAAATTCAAAGAATCAAATAAAACCCGATACAATTCCAGATTTTTTGTTTGTTTTTCGGATTATATTCGAACTAATTTTGCTTGCCATTACATGTTATATGGTATTTCAGTAAACATTAAAATGACTGCAAAAATGAGGTTGTTAAGTGAAAAACTAAAGCTGGTTGAAGATCATCGTAAGCTCAGTTATTTTAAAGTCTGGTAAAAAGGGGTCGTTTTGAAAAATGGGAAAAGAGTTCTCCTGAGAGAAAACTTTCGTAGGATTAGCGAAATTTTATTTTAGGCCTTTTACTAGTTTAAGTGTATATACCACTTTTCAACCTAACATTTAAAATTAAATATATAAAAAAAACATGACAAAAACATGGTCGGACAGTAAACACAGCTGAGTATAAAGTTTGCAGTCAAACCTATACATACTGTTACGTTCTTAGATTTTACTTAATCCCGTGTAGACGTTGTTTTATTTCCCAATACAGTTCGTACTAAATAAAACGCGGGTTCTTACTGATTACGATTATTACAATGATTTTATTGACACAACTTTACTTTGCACTTTACTTTACTTGACGGTTTCAATTCGCGATATGATTCACAACTGACTAACTGCCTTGCCATTTCCCCTATTTATATGAGCCTTGCCTGTCGCTACAGAAGTTTCTAGACGATCTGGTAATTACGAACAATCTACCAATGCAACAAACACGTACAAACTTACATTGAGTGAACAATAACAACAACACATATACAGGCGAGGGGGTAACAAAGAAAGAGGAATTAAGCGATCGTCAATGATGACGTTTAACAAGAATTGTACGTCAATAACAAAATAGACAATGAAAGAGAAAATGGAAGGATGTAGAAAAATCTATACAGTAGTTGTTTGCGTTGATGCAAAATATGAAAATATAGAAATAAAAACACAATTGTTTTAGAATTTTTTACCAAACGTAGATTTGGTTGTTTATTGATAATTGTTCGTGGAACAATATAAAATTACCTTTACTACAGGATGTAGGGGTTGATGCTTTTTGGTCGTGAACCAAAGAACCAGTGTTATTAAAAGCTAAGATGTCACAATGCGGCGCTTTGACGTAGTTACTCGTTATATTTTGCTACTACCTTTTGTCTTTAGTACGAAATACTCAAAGACGTATATAAAGGTAGTGAACAAGATATAACGATGGGGGCACAATTTACATTAATTCAAAAGAAATTATTTCAAAATAATCATTGCCGCCCGCGTTGCAACATCTTGCTATGTTGCAAAATGAACATGTAGGTAATGTTTGGTAAATTCTTTTTCTTTTTTTCTCTTGTTTTTTTTTTGTTTTATACTTTTTTCAAAAAACATATTATTTGCTCGACGAGCAGGATCGTGCAATGTCTCGTCAAGATCTGATCCGTTATCTTTTTTATAATCAAAAGACTCGCCGAGTCTTGCGGCTAGGCAATTGAAGATTGCCCATCGCTTGATGATTAAATGCTACATGGAAACCAGGGCTAGAATAAGTTTTGTGGCTTTATTCATTGTTTTAAACCTCTGGGCCTAGTATCATGCTGACCGTTGCAGCTTCGTTGAACCGAGAATCGGCAAGTTGCAAGCCAGCATGATATTCTTTAAGCCGCCGGACATGGACTCCGAAAGAGCAACGATATGTCCCAAACCAATAGCTCTCGCTGAGAGCATTTGCGTAACATCGCAGGGACTTGAAGCCGAAGTCAATGAGGAGTTAACGGACGGACGTTTAGAGGCTGATTTTGTTGGAACAACATTATGCACGCTCTTTTCGAACCCTGGTTCTTTCGGCAGTGTGCCGAAATAGGTGGCGACACCACCGGGTTTCCTGAAGGAACTTCAGGGACCGTCGACGACGTTCTTTCGACAGTGTGTCGAAAGAGGTGGCGACACCACCGTTTCTCCTGAAGGAACTTCAGGGACCGTCGAAGACGGACTATAAATTATTTTTCTCCGATGGAGAAGCAGCTTCGTGGGACCCGAAGGGCGTAGACTCGTTGGCGATGGGGACACCTGTGAGGTTGTAGTCCCTTTCCTCATCGGACATGAGGACGTCGTCTTCAATATCGGGGGTACCGCAGCCATCGTACCTAAATTTTCCATCTTCTGTGAAAATAGAGAGATGTGATACCGAAACGATGAGGATTATAACTAATAAATGTATTGCCAGAATGACCAGTAAAAACCGTAGGTCGTTTTGTAATTACCATAGTCCCATAATACGCGACTCTATCGCGACCATCAATGGTCATTTTTCATTACGCGAAAAAGTAAAGAGGTGGCAAAAGATGACTCGAGATATGGACTATGATAATTATTTGCGCAACAACTTTTATATAGTACCGTTTTCCGTATGAAAATCCCGAGTGCACCTCTACTATTCGACGTTATTTCCACGATGTGGAAGTATTTGTAATTACGAAAGATGCGTAACATCAGTGTATTATATTTGATTTCACAAATATGCCTGCAAAAGGATTATGGGATTTAGAATAAATGTAAGAGGTCGTAAACCCGTAGAACAATTTTGAGACATTTGCGTGACAAATGAATAGAAGAAACTGAAAGTGACCAGATGTGTTATTGAAAATGTATGAGAGAAGTGGACTGTATATTGAAACTTGCTCGTGAAGCGTGTACATTTTATTAGAACAGTAACATTAGTCAACTGGGACGAAGTCCCGGAATGTAGATCGTAGAATCTACATTTGCGTAGCGTGTATGTAGGGTCTAATGTAGGCGATGTTATCTTTAAGTTTTCCGTGAGAAAACTTACCTAGCACAATTATTTTAGTTACTATCGACACCTATGGATAAAAGGGAGCATAATTTGCTCAAAGTCCCCCAGGTGTATATCCCTAAATAGATGGACGTAAATAGGAAGTGGGCATTGGACCAGCAATAATCCAACCGAAAATCGTACTCTGAGCTATTAGGGAGCCTAGTACGTTGGAACGTGTACCCTGTAGCATGATCTTCGGATAAAGATCTGCACCAAGCAATATGTCGACAGGACGGGAAGAGAAGGGATCGGGGTCGGCCAAACGTAGATTTGGCAAATTTGATCGAATGTCGATTTGTGCGGTGAATGAGGGCAGATTTTCTGCGATGGTTGGAAGGACAATGACTTTAGTTTCCATTGATAGCGTAGCATCAATGGGAGAACTAATACGGACTTCGCATTCCTTATTTGAAGTAGTTGAAACAAATCCACTGACCCCAGAAATAGTGGAAATGTTCGAAGTTGTGGATATGCCTGTTCGATTTCGCATTTCTTCAGAAATGAATGATGCTTCAGAAGCAGGGTCAATAAGAGCTCTGGCTAGGTACGTAGTACCTTTATGAACTATATGAACGTTTGCCGTTCCTAACAAGATTTTTCGATTCTGGGTGGTATGAAATACCTGTCTATTTAAAGATCGTGGGGTAGTCCCTCTCGTTGAAGAGGGCTGATTGGGAGAGATTACGTTCCGAACTTGTGGTGTTGTGGCCGTCGAAGACGAACCAGTAGTGGATGGTTCCCTGTGCAATAGTGTGTGGTGTCTTTTATTACATACCCTACAATTGTGTAGGCTACTACAATGGTTGACTAGATGTTTAGCGGACAGACAGTTTGAACAACAATTATGTCTCTTAATAGTATTAAATCTTTCAGGAACTGAAAGTTGTAAAAAGCGTTGACATGATCTTAGGTGATGCATTTGTCGTGGACAAATAATGCAAGACTTATTGGGAGATAATGGAGATTGCCTAGAAGTATTAAGCGAAGTTCGATTAAAAGGAGGTGTTCGATTCGCGCCAGCATTCGTGAAATGTGAACGAACCTTTTTGTTACTTGATTGATTGACGTTGTCAATACCACGAATGTCACGTAAGCAGTTAAGAGTTTGGATACGTTCCGTAAGAAAGTTATCCAAATCTTTCCAGGAAGACAAAGCAGACTTATCTTTGATACTTTGTTCCCAAAGTGTGACACAATTTTGTGGTAGCCTCTGAAGACATAAGAACACTAGGATAGGGTCCCAGTCTTCCGTAGAGACGTCATAATTTGACATGGATGATATGCACCCATTAATACCCCTTTGCAATGTCTTTAGGCCTGAACTAGTTTCATTATCTATAACAGGCAAATCGAATAATAGTTTAAGTTGGTGGTTCACCAATATACGTGGATTGTCGTACGTACGCTTTAGAGCTTTCCACGCAAGACCAAAATTGGTGTGGGTAAGCGAAAACTTAGCCACAATTTCATGGGCGTCGCCACTGGTCTTTTTGTTTAAGTGACATAGGCGTTCAATGTCACTGATGCCAGAATTGTT